TACAAGATAGTTCAACAACCTCATAGTTAAAGAGGTAAGGCTTGTCAACGTCATTACCAAGTAAGGGCAATAAAGCAAGTTGGAGTATATCCATATAAAAATAAGCAATGCTTATTCAGCCTACATTGTTCCTCTGATACACAGTTTAAGTCTACACAAAAGTTTTGGACTTTCTTCTCTGTTGATTATGTATACATGCATCAGCGTCTGGCCTGGACTGGCAAATCTGCACATATAGCCACGAACTCAAATCCTTAAATTACATATAAATATAACCCAGAATAGATTACATTGATTATTTTGATTGTAACCCACTGTCTGACTTGTCTGAATCTTTTGGAATGACCTCTGACTGCAATGAAATGTTTCAGGTCATGTCAAATAAATTAAGCCAGAATAGCAGAACTAAATCAGTTGTTCTTAACTTAGCTGACTTATTAGAACTACATAAGTACTAATCACATTTATTTCTATTTGAACCAATTCACCAAAAGTATGGTGTCATTTAAAACTAATTAGTTCTTGTAGATTATTGAAACAAGCCAAGAATTTCTGTTGGGAAGATTAATTCTGTACTTTCAGTCAGTTCAGTTCAGAAGTGAAAGAGGAGATATTTTACTACAACTTGAATATGCAGTTTACATAGTTTCCATTTCTGCCAAACAAAATGAAAAAGTTTAAAGCATAGACTCAAACGTGTCAATATAGAATGTAAATCAAATATTAATGTATTCAATTGCACAAAATTTAGTATGTAATTTAATATGTAATTACACAGCTATGTTTGAGTAGCACAGCAAGTAAAAAGTAAGCACTCTCGCCAAGCATAGTATCCACCCACTGCCTGCAGAAAAGTGTTGCTTAGATTGCAGTCAGCTTTGTTGCACTCCTTTCCGTTTGTGGCTGTACATTTTCACAAAGCGGTGCCGTATCTGAGTCATTTTTAACCCATATATGATGGGGTTCAGCAGAGGAGGCATAACGAGGAACTCCACTCCCAAGATGTTATGCAGAGCTTGCAGTCCCAGGCTTCTGCCATAGCGAGCATACATTACATCAAATAATACGGAAATGGTGAAGTTAATGAGCGTGATTAAATGAGGCAGACAAGTCTGCATGAATTTAACCCGCCCTGTCTTAGAACGCAAAGAAGCCCTGATAATGTGAATATATGATACAAAGAAGAACACAACTTGACAAACATGATATAACATTAGGTACCCGAAAATGTTGTTCGCAGTCACATCTGTGCAAGAAAGCTTAACAACCTCCCAGTTAGAGCAGTAAATCTTGTCAATATCATTACCACATAAAGGTAGTCGGGCTGTCAGTGCAGTCATAACAGATGTTTCTAGTACAGAGAAAACCCACATAAAAATCAACAATTTCAGCACTTTCTTTTTGGTCATGATGGTGTGATATTCCAAAGGTTTATAAATGGCTACATATCGGTCATATGCCATGACTGTTAGACATGTAGCTTCACAAAAAATTTAACAGCAAATGATGTATATTTGTGCTAGGCACGCTGTATATGAGATAATGTGAAAGTCGGAGAAAACATCAGCAAGAATCTTTGGATAGAAAGCAGAAGCACCACATATTCCATTCACATACAAATTGCATATAAACAGATACATGGGTTCGTGGAGTGTTTTTGTCCAGAATAATTGCGATGATTAGCATTAAATTCACAAGCAAAGTCACAACATAGACAACAAGGCCAAATGCAAAGTAAATGTGTTTGTTTGTTCTTGTCTCTTTTACTCCATGAAGCACAAACATGAACTCTCTGGAGGAATTTCTTCTCTGAACATAGAATACTTAAACAAGATGGTACTCTTGCTTATATGTTTTTGAAGCCTGACATGTGATGTTTACAAAAGAGGGAAAAAACAGTCTACAGAATAACTCCCCAAGTGAGTTTATGTCTTTAATAATTATACTTCCATCCCTGTCATGGTTACACTCTTATCAGGGCTGTATACACGTACAAGCTCCTATGCATGTTAGAGGTTGAAATACCTAAAATCCTTGCAATCATTCATTGCAGAACATTAATTTTGAACGTTTTGCTGAGTTTTGCTGATGTATTTTTGGCAAAGTTGTGAGTCTCCACCCATCCTTTAAAGAGGACTAGGCCTTTCCTGGATGCTCCTTTTAAACCCATTATTATTGCATCGCTTGTTTAAGATGTTTAAGATATTTTTTGAACATTTCACAACCCTGTTCTAACTTTTTTGGAACATGTTGCAGGCATCACTTTCAGAATGATGCCTGCACATATATATACAAGAAACAAATTTTTTTGGGTTGGGTTTATAAATTATATAGCAGACATAACACAGTACCTCACAAAGCCTGGCAAAAGCTTGCATATTCCTGAACAGTTTCAGGCATAACCCTTTATAAAGTGCTATAAAATGTATGACTTTATAAACTCAGGGTCTATAACGCATTATAATGTTCATTACAACTGTAGACAATAATACTGTAAACCTCTATAGCAATATATAACATATAACAAAGCATTATGTCTGGCCATTATAGGCTTTATGTGAAGTGAGCTTTTTTAGAACATCTCCTAAATCTTCCTCCTTAAATTTTCCTCATGGAGCATAGAAGTATTTCAGGCCTTAAGTCAAGTGAGAACCACATACAACTAGTTACTTATATACTTAGTATTTTGTACATTCAGTTCACTTAGTTTATTGTAAAACAAGAAATAAGCATTTTCTAATTTTCAGAGAAAGACACTGGGCCAGATTTACCAGAAGAGGCATTGATTACCAACTACTCCCTACTGACACTATGTGGCTTATAGTGACACTATGTGGCTAATAGTGGCTTAGCTATGAAGAACTTCCATGCAACTGAACACAGACACAACTTTATTATTACTGTATGAGCAGTGCAAAATAACCATTTGTTTGAAACAAATGCTTTTTGTATGAAAAACTGTGACCACCAGATGGGAGAAAAAGGCTGCATCATGAATTGCATACTACAGCACTAAATAGTGTGTAAAACAATGCACCACCACAAGAACTGCATTTATTTATGTAGTATGTCAGGTATATATGTGCATGGAGTCATATTCTCAAGATTTAGTGGGTAAAAATAATGAGTAATAATGAAAGAACAAGCTATTCTTCTTTTAAAAAAGTATGTGATTGTTTTCACATAATACAAAATTATTTTCAGAATTAAAAAATTATTTTGACACAAAAATAAATAATTATTTTGACTGTTCAAAACACATATATTTGGTGGTTTGAGCTGAACTTGAGTTCTGTGTTGAGTGCATTTCAAATTTGTGATATTGAAAAAAATCTCTGTTTAATTTCACTGGAGAGCTTCCTACTTGATAGAGCCTCTTAGCTCTGTGCAGCGCATCAAACCATAACTGTAACATTTCTGTAACAGAAGCCACAGCACAAACAAGTAAATTGTAGCTTTAGTAATGCAATGATTGCAAAGTCACAAGTTTCACAATAGTTTGGGAGAAAAAAAATGTTCAGATCATCTGCTCACAGCACACTTTGATGAGTAAAATACCAGTTTAAACAGTTTTTTACTTTATTTATTTTTTACATTTTAATACCTTGATCAAATTTAGAATATGACGAAGACTGTTGACAATTTTTAAAAACGGACTGATAAACTGTCTTTTAAAGCATGAAAGCTTTTCTTTCAGCAACAACAGTGTTGAGATAAATGAATTCTTTAGGAAAAATATCATTTATTTAAATGTATTCAACTAAACATGCTGAAACAATAACACCTGATGTAATGTATAAGTGTAGGGGTTGAATATTAAAATATCTGAGGTACACGTCTCAGTTTTTTGTTCTTTTTATTGCCACTTTCTCCTCCCCAGAAATATTTTGGTGAAATTCATGTAACATGTACTCACTAAATAAATAGTAGCAATGAAGAATTAATCTGGCAACTCTGCAGCTGCCTTAACTCTGGTCGACTGCCTGTGTCAAATTTGAAACTGTATTATTGGTTATTCAAAGTTACACTCTTCTTTTTTGAATTTGAATATAAAGTATCATGAAGAGTAACTGAAGCACCAGTAGTGAAACTACACAAATTACAATATATATTGTATAGCGGTATTAGATGTAGAAACCCTAACATGAAATTTAGATGTATTATCTCAGAGTCTGGTTAAACATGGTAAGAAATGCTTGCCTTACATCATAAACCACAAGGTTCAAGTTCAGGTTGAACATACGGCTTAGGTTTAATCTCAAATTCTCAAAGGATTATGCACAATAAATGAAAGTACTGTTTATGCAAATAGTATATATTTCATATATGCACACAAATTTGATTAATAGATAAAAGTGAAGAGAGATAATGATACAAATGGCAAGAAAAAGGGAAGGAAAACCTTTTGCTCTTTACTCCTGGATGTATGCTAGGATTAAACCATTATTTTTCTAATGAACAGTGCAGTAATGCTACAGTAGGTTTTTAAACATACTGTATTTATGGTGTATATAGTGAAAATTTCAGGTTATCAAAAAAGTTATTAATACTGCAAACACTGCAAACTGTCATGTACAGAAATGCCTTGAACAACATGGTAGTGGAAGCATTCAACAGCACAGAGGCATAAAGGACAATCACAGCTATAGTTGAAATCAACTCACTAATATTTTTTTTTACTTTTCAGTGATACAGCCAAGGAAAGTGCAGTTACATTATGCATTTTGTCTAAATGAGCTTAATAAAGCTATGCTAATTACAGACATTAATTGACATGTATGATATATTAGACATCTTACATTTTTGAACACACCACAAAACATTTACCTATGTAAACTGGTTCTTACGTCTAGGTTAGGTGTGACAGACAGAACTCTTTAGGGGGTCACAAATTATAGCAGAACTGTGGTTTAACAGTTTTCTATCAGTAAGCAATTGCCATGCTTTGTGTGCCTGCATTAAGCCAGAAGCATGTATTGAACTTGTATTGAATGATAGCTTTATTGCACTGCTTTGTGTTTGTGGCTGTACAGTTGCACAAACCGGCGTCGTATCTGAGTCATTTTTACTCCATATATGATAGGATTCAGGAGAGGAGGCACAACAAGAAACTCAATTCCCAATACATTGCGCAGAGCTTGTAGCTCCTGAGCTTTGCCATAGCGAGCATACATAGCATCAAATACCAGAGAAATGGTGAAGTTTATGAGGGTGATTAAATGAGGAAGGCAAGTCTGCATGAATTTAAGCTGCTCCGTCTTGGATTTCAAAGATGCTCCTATGATGCGAATGTAGGAAATAATGACGAACACAGCTTGGGAAACATGAGAAAACACCATGAAGTATCCATAAACATTGTTCACAGTCACATCTGTGCAAGCTAGCTTCACAATCTCCCAGTTAGAGCAGTAAATCTTGTCGATGTCTCTACCACATAAGGGTAGTCGGATTGTCAGCGCAGCCCCAAAACAGGTCTCCAACAGGGAGAAGAGCCAGGTGAAAAGTAACAATTTTAGCACCTTCTGATGTGTCATAATAGAATGATATTCCAAAGGCTTGCAAATTGCTGCATACCTGTCATAAGCCATCACTGTTAGACATGTAAATTCACAAAAAGCATACCAGTAAATTGTAAATGTCTGTACCAAGCAACCCATATATGAGATAACATTAGAGCCTGATAAAAGATCAGCAAGAATCTTTGGATAGAAAGCAGAAGCACCACATATTCCATTCACATATAAGCTGCATATAAACAGATGCATGGGTTCATGAAGCATTTTATCTAAAGCAATTGTAATAATCAGTGTAAAATTCACAAACATTGTAAAAAGGTAAATCAAGAGACCAAATGCAAAGTAAATCTGTTTGTTTGTCCTTGTATCGTTCAGTCCATGAAGCACAAACATGAATTGTCCAGAGGAATTTTCCATCATTTCTGAGGACTCTGAAATAATGAGAAGTCTTTTTTTTCTTTTAAGTTGTTTCTTAAAGATAAATGAAAATTAATACTACTTTGATGAATTTTCTGTATTTTATCCCGCATAACATGGCTTAAAAATAACAATAAGTCACTTATTAAGTTTGAAGTCAGTATCCTGGAAGCACTTATTAAGTTTTAAGTCAGTATCCTGTGTTGCCTCTGCTTTTATATACTATGCCTGTCATGAGATATCCGTGAAAAGCCTACTCCTACTGCTCAGGGGCATTGCATCAGGGGTGGGTATCAGAGGCATACTCAATGAATTTGTTTTGCTGCATTTGTACCCCCCTATTTTGTAATGGGTTAATTTGACCCGCTTCCACTTTTAGAGTCTGTAATACTGGTTACCCTCTCTTTCTTTATGAATGTTTCCTTATTCAGGGACATGAACTTGCATGCAAAGTGTGGTTACACTGATGTGTTGTGGAAGGTCTGAACAATATTTGTATACAAAGTTGATGTTTTTGGTCATTTTGACCCTGACGCTATCATGAACAGAGATGGTTTCACATACCCAATATAAAACATTTCTTTGATGTGTACTGATGTCATGACTAGTTCTGATTGCTCTGAGAGGGTAAATAGGAGCTTCACACATTTCTTGTCAGTGTTGCAATTGCCAGAGATACTAAAAATGAGCTCCAAAAGACTGACAGCCCATGAAGTCTTATCACATATTTTGAGGTTTCAGAGACACAGGATGCTTCAGGTGCAGAGGACAATATGGTTTAAGATCCAGATGTTGAATTTTCTTTAGGTAAAGAGGATTCATAAGATGAGTCTGCCATCCATTAGATAAAAACAGTGGAACACAGCACATCAAGAGGAGCTGAGACATGTAAATCTGAAGATGGCAATATAGAGTGGTCACCTTCACCACAACAAAGCCAAGGCAGCTTCTAATGTCATCAAAATGGTTCCAGGGCGTACATGATTTGCTGTGACTCAAGTCTATGACATCCAATCAACTTTTGAGCTCTTTATACCACAACCAGTTGAAAAGATTACACTGGACATGACCAATTTGGAGGGAAGCAATGTGTTTTATGAGAACTGGAAGCCACTGGATAACGTTGACTTGCATGCATACACTGGATTACTGATATTAATGTACAAGCCAAAGGGAGAAGCACCTGCCAGTCTATGGAATGAAGAGAAAAGCATGTCAACATTTCAAGCAGCAATGTCTCTGGAAGCATTCCGTATATCATCACATGTGATTTGCTTTGATATCTATAACACCAGTCCTGGCCAACATGAGAGACACAAGTAAGATGCCACCAACACATGTTTGTACTACTGTGTTGCATCACCTCTTCTTTTAACAACGCACCGTAAATGTTTGGGAACTGAGGAGACTGCTATAGTTTCGAAAGTGAAATGTTTTCCCATTCTAGCTTAAAATATAGGATTTCAGCTGCTCAACAGTTCAGGGTCTCCTTTGTCATATTTTTCATTTAGTAATGTGCCAAATGTTTTCAATGGGAGACATCTGGACTCTTTTACTCTGGAGCCATGCTGTTGTAATAGATGCAGGATGTGGTTTGACATTGTCTGAAATAAGCAAGGCCTTCCCTGAAAAACACGTCGTCTGTATGGCAACATATGTTGCTCCAAAACCTGTGTACACACTATATAGACAGAAGTACTGGGACACCTACACATTACACCTGCAAGAGCTTTTATGATATCCCATTCTAAATCCATAGGCATTAATATGGAGTTTATCCCTTCTTTGCAGCTATAACAGCTTACACTCTTCTGGGTGGGATTTCTATAAGATTTTGGAGATTTTGGACATTCAGAAAATCATTTGTGAGGTCAGACACTGATGTTGGACGAGAGGGCCTGGCTCACAATCTCTGTTGTAGTTCATCCCAAAGGTGCCCGATGGGGTCAAGGCTCTGTATGGGCCAGTCAAGTTCTTCCACACCAAATTTACCCAACCATGCCTCTGTGGACCTTGCTTTATGTACAGAGACACAGTCATACTGGAACAGTAAAGGGCCTTCCTCAAACTGTTAGATGCTTACAGTTGTCATGGTAGGAGGCCTGAGCTGAGGGCACGAGTTCTGGCATCACGCCTATACAGGATGCATGCATTCTCAGATTTTCTTATGGCGACCGGAGCCATAGTTGACCTCAGGAAGGAAATGCTTGGCTTGTAGACAGAAAAGTGAAGCAGACTACAGCAAGACATTCCTTTTCTGTACTCAGCACCTCTCAGGCTCCTGGAAGCATAGGCGATGACCTTTTCTTCCTCGTTGACAATTTGTGTTCGTACAGCTCCAAGCCCAACGTAACTGGCATCTCTATGAACTTGAAAAGGCTGCAGGAGATCAGGATACGCTAGCACCAGGGCCTCTTGGAGAGCTGTTCTCAGCTTGTCAATGCTTTGCTGGCATTCAGTGGTCCATATCCATGCAACAACTTTCCATTCGAGATGTATCAGAGCTGCTAAATTTGCAAAACGAGGGATGAACTTATGATACCATTCCACTAAACCAAGAAATTGTTGTAAGGACGGCAGGTCATGGGGAGTAGGAAATGTAGCCATAGCGGCTGTTTTCTCCAAGTCAACTGTAGCCTCTTCGCCAGAGACAATGTGTCCTAAAAACTTAAGCACCGTTTTCAGAAAGTGACATTTCTTCAAACGCAGGCTGCTTTGAGCTTCTCAAATACCGTTTCAAGGTCTATTAGATGTTGCTCTTTGGTTGTGGAGTAGAAAATGACGACATCTATGTAGACAAAACGTATAGAACCTCTCAGTCCTCCCAGCACTCTCTCTATCTGCCTGTGAAAGGTGGCTCCAGTAATTTTGAGACCAAATGGCATGGTCAAAAAATGGTATAGGCCAAACGGAGTGATGAAAACAGTCTTGTTTTTACAACATTCATCCATTTCCACTTGACAGTAGACCAATTTCAAATCGAGAGTGCTGAAATACCTAGCATCATGCAAGGACTCCAAGATATCGAGCACAATGGGCATTGGATATGCATCCTGGAGAGTTTTGGCATTCAGCTGTCAATCAATGCAGAAACAGTTACTGCCATCTGGCTTGGGAACAATCACAACTGGAGATGCCCAAAAAGAGTCCTGTTTTATGATCTCTTGCAGGGGTAGCATGAAAAAAGGTAGTCCTGGACAAAGGAGTGCTAGTTTTTATCGCGATTTCCTTCTTCCAATGTTCATCCCTTCTATGCAGACATTCCACCATGCCTTGTTCCAGCTGTATTAAGAATCTTTTAAAGAGTTCTTCACTGGCTTCAAATCTTTGATCCATACATTCTCCAACAGTGACTTCTCTGATTGTTGCACTTTTATTTGCTGTCTTGAATTCCACCTGTTCATCTCATTCATCTCAGTTCTAAGTGTCTGAACAGAGTGAGTCAGGTTTGATATTTGAGATTCAAAATGATTTACTGTGTTCCCTGTAGGACCCTGAGAATTTTGCTCCTCTTTATCACTTTCTCTAGCTTCACTGTCAATGTACAATTCAATAAGTAAAGAGCTAATTTCTTCCACAAGGACAGGATTGCGATAAGCCACACCAGAACCAGACTTGAAAGGAGGAGACTCCACACCACTCCCACTCTCAGGACCAGCACCCATTTCTCCCTGGCCGTTACCATCTACAGTGCCTGAGTACCTACTAGTATCCATTTTCCTAAGATAAATACTGAATTAAATACAATATTGGTTAATATTACAGTGTCCCTGTATGGGCCACAATCTGTGGCTTAGAAAGGTCGAGAAAAATAGACCACCTCAAGGCACTCGGTTAGCAGTAACTTTAGTCACTGTTGCCCATGGATTTTGTCTGAAAAACACCATGCTTAACACAAGAACCTAATTTAATGTTTGTGTTAATTATTGATAATTGGTAAATCACAGGTTCCAAGATGTGGCAGTGCCACAGGGCTGCATATGTCACTGAACTGCTAGTGCTCAACGAGTCTGGTCACCTGTGGGAGTGTTTTGATAGACCAGTCACTCCAGTCTGGGTGGAGAAGCTGCAGCTGCCACCTCCAGAGCAGGGTTGGTGTGAGTGTGGTGCTCGAACACAAGGGACTACATCACTTACAGTGGCCCAGACTTTTGCTGCTGCATCTTGACTCAGAGGAAGAAGACGAGTACCAACCTCTAGCTGTGGACGACGCTCCATGCACAGTGGCAGCTGAAGCCCAGGAGTCCAGCATCTCAGAGCCCTAATTCACCAGTTGTCTCCTGACCACTGGCAGTGCTGCCTCACTCCCGATGGTGGAATAGGACTCTTGTATGGCAGGGGTCGCCTCTCCTGTCTGAGTTAAAATTACATGATAATTTCATAGTTCAGTGTATATCACTGTGGCATAATGCTGATGACATCAGTTGGAGCAACAGCCTGGTTCAAACAAATGTGAACATTTTTGAGGCCCTTAGGTAAAGTGTATTTTATTTTACCATATATATATTTTGAGCTATGTCAGATCTTTGGCATTATGTCTGTGTCTGTGTGCACTAAGCTGCAAAGAAAGTTTTTATTAGGGGTGTGGGAAAAACTCGATTCTTAGATGCATCGCGATGCGGACATGAACGATTCTGAATCGATTCATAAATGTCAAAAATCGATTTTCTAAATATTTAATTTATAACGTGATATTGACGGAACGCAAAAGGCGGAACTGGAAGTGGGTAAGTGCAGCGACCGGACAGTCTGTGGCGGCACATAACAAAAACACTACTGGATGACCGAGAAATCCGCCCGGCGCCCTCGGCATTAAAGCCCGGTTAGATCAGGAGTCATAACACAAATGATAAGAAGAGCCGTTTTGTCCTTTCAGCAAAGTCAAACCACCTCGGGAGCCACAACATTTAATGTCCAGTATGTCTCAGTATGTGATAATGTCTTAGCATGGGCTAAAAATATAAACGAGAGCGCAGATTTACTTTGCTCTGCTTTAAGCTTTAATAGCCGCTTTCCTCTCATCTCCGCCAGAAAACTTTTCTTCAAAACTAGAAGAGTTTCTTGTAAAATGTCTCTTACAGTCTTTTACAAGGCTGAAGTCGCTTCTCATTCACCAGCTTCTTGTTCTAATTTTCCCATTTCACCTTAAATTCTGCCTTAGGCGCCGAATGTAACTGCTGCACCATTTAAGGTGGAACGGGAAAATTCGATAGAGAAGCGAGTTCATTTTCGCAGCTTTTTAGAGAAAAACAGTCTCTCGTTGCAGATTTAACCAACCGCGCTGCTTATAAACGCGAACAAGTCCTTCAAATGTTCGTCTTAATCTCTGTTTTTTAGTTTGCTACTGGCGAGGCCAGACTTCGGTGCTATGTGACCTGCTGTCTGTTGTCTGTTCTCAGCCGTTGAGAACCAGGGCTTTCGCGCTGTGCTGCACACTTTGGAGCCGAGATTCAGCGTCCAGTCTCCCCCCCAATCCCCCCCTAACCCACTGAAACTTACAACTGAAAGAAAACAGGAAGGATGGCTGTAACATGCTGCGTGGACACCCATTGCCACTGGATCTTATTTCAGGGTAACAGCGCATTTATTGCAGATGAGTGGCAGCAGCGTCTCTGAATAAGAGCCTTCTAGTTCACTTGCCACATCACTTCCATTTACATTATGGATCATTACAAATACTTTGCTTTAAAACTACCAAGTCCTCAGACAGTAGGAAGATAGAAATCCTGTATAGAGAAAAAAGATGCATCGAGATGCATCGATAATCGTTTTATAATCGTATCGCAGCCCTCTGAATCGTAATCGAATCGAATCGCGAGGTGCCTAAAGATTCCCACCCCTAGTTTTTATGCTATGTTATTTTTCTCCAAACAGAATCATTATATAACCCAATGTAAAAAATACACACATATATATATATATATATATATATATATATATATATATACATATATGTATATATGTATGTATGTATGTATGTATATATGTCTATATGTCTATGTCTATATATATATATATATATATATATATATATATATATATATATATGTTACTGGACATAAATGTCATAGGTTCATATCAAAGTTGATAAAAACAGTCGTAATAACAGGTAATGCCTATTGAAATAAGCCTTATAAATGTTTTTGTGAGTTGTCATGACAAGTGTTTGTAGGTATCATGCAGCCTCACAAACACTACCCTACAGTAATGCATTACCCATTTAACAAACCCTTACACAAACACTGTCAAAACAGAATTCTGAATGTGATCTCACACAAAATGGTAATTGAATAATTTACAAAGGTCACCATGTAAGAAAGAGAAGTGTGATAAACTTTTCTTCTAAATTCTGATGAGTTTCTTTGACAAATTATAAGAATTTTAACATAGGAAAACAAAATAAAACTCAAAGAATAAAAACTGTTGATGTGAGCATTACAAAACCAGAAATATTATTTAATGAAGTATCAGTACAGGAGAGTCTTACTATTACCCAGTTGCTGCAGTACAATTTTGTTAAGTCATGCCCACACAGTTTAAGTCTAGCAGTCAAACTGATTCCAATACCAACTGAAAACATTGGATAAACCTATGTCAGAGCAATTATAACAGCAAGATTCTTAGGTGTAATAATGCTGTGGTATTGTAAGGGTTTACTAATACATCACAAAATCTATCTATCCCAGTTATGTGGAAACATCTTGTGTGGTTCCTATCCCCAAGAAAAGGCAACCGATAACACTGAATGATTATCGACTGGTTGCACTGACATCCCCCTTAATGAAGACACTTGAAAGGCTGATGCTAGCTCATCTGAGACCTCTGGTCAGAACAGCTCTCGACCCTCTGCAGTTTGCATATCAGGATGGCATTGGAGTGGATGACATAGTTATCTACCTGCTGGACAGAACGTACTTTCACCTGGACACATCAGGCAGCACTGTGAGGATCATGTTCTTCGATTTCTCCAGTGCATTCAACACCATACAGCCTGTGCTGTTAGGGGAGAAGCTACGGCTGATGTAGGTGTATGAATCCATTATCTCATGGATAATGGACTATCTGACTGGACGACCTCAGTGTGTGTGACTTCAGGGCTGTGTTTCAGACAAGGTTGTGTGCAGTGTTGGGGCACCCCAGGGGACTGTGTTAGCTCCATTCCTGTTCAACCTGTACACCTCTGACTTCAAAATTCTTGGATGACGTGGCCATTGTGGGGTACATGAGGAATGGAAAGGAGGAGGAATACAGGAAGCTGGTGAAGGTGGTGTTGACTAGTGTAAGCTGAACCAACTGCAGATAAACATCAGTAAGACTAAGGAGATGGTGCTGGACTTTAGGAAGTCCAAACCTGCCACCAGTCACCATTGATGGAGTTGATGTGGAGGTGGTTGGGACCTACAAGTATCTGGGTGTGCACTTGGACAACAAGCTGGACTGGAGCTGTAACACTCTTGCAGTGTACAAGAGAGACCAAAGCCGTCTCTACTTCCTGAGGAGGCTGAGGTCTTTTGGTGTGCGCACTAAGCTCCTGTGGACATTCTACCAGTCTGTTGTAGCGAGTGCTTTATGCTATTGTGTGCTGGGCAGCAGCATTAACAAAAGTGCTCTGAACAAATTAAACAAACTTATTAGGAAGGCTGGCTCTGTTGTAAGAGTCAAGCTGGACTCTTTGGAGGTTGTGGCAGAACAAAGGATGCTCAACAAGCTGTTAGCCATCTTGGACACCCCCTGCATGCTACACTGAAAAAACAGAGAAGCACATGCAATGGCCGACTGTTACAGCTGTGCTGTGTTAAAGAGCACCGTGTGAGATCTTTCTTACCCACTGCTATAAGGCTCTTCAACGAGTCTCCTTACTGCAGAGATGGTAATGATCTCCTGCTGTCTGAACTGTGCTGAACCACATCACTATATCGCCTCTCCTGTTAATACACACTGTGCAATATATCATAACTGCTACTGTAATGACACTCTCACTGCACACTTTACACTGTAATATTGCTGCAACTCCTAGTTATGTTTATACTCATTGTGCTTTTAGACTACCTCATACCACTCAGTGCCTGCTATCATTTAAATACAACAAATCTACATGCCATTACAATTACGATTGTGTATTCATTTAATGCATAAGTGTAAATGACAAAAGCCGGTACATGACATGCATGGCGAGAGATTGTGTGTGTGCATGAAAACAAATCAGTTAGTAATCTTGAAAACAAGTCAGCAGTACCATAAAGTGAATTGATTGACAAAAATGAAATGAAAATGTACATAAGCTGATGCAATACAGTTTCCAGAATGATTACACAAATTACGGCTACATTTAAGAATACTATTAAACAGTATACAATAAATCCCAAACAAAAAAAGAAATTGTAAATCTCCCATATTTTCAAACATGAAGAAAAAAAAGACCATAAAAGTTCCATTTTGCATTATTCCTTAGACCATTTAATTGTCTTAAAGGCGGGGAACAAAATTATTGCTGGATGTAGCCGCAAGGTGCTTCTCTGCTAAGTACACTTATATGTGCTTGATTATATAATATCCAACCCCTCTTTAGATAGCCAAGAACAATTTCAAGGAACATGTATGACCACATAGGGCTGCATGAGTACACAGAAAAAAACAGTTTCATGTTTTTTTTATACAAAATCTGTTTTGTGTCAAAGCTTTAAGAATCAGAATCAAGCTTTATTGGCCAAGTATGCTTACACATACAAGGAATTTGGTTTTGGTTACAGGAGCTTAAAGTGCACAATATCAGACAAACATTTACATGTAGTAAATAGAATAAAATAAACTAAGATAAAACATGCATTCCTACCATCACTCACCCATACACAAACACACACACACACACACACACACATACATACAAACACAGTCATACCTGTAAACCTTTTTACTCTATGTTGTCTAAACATGGATAATCATAAAATTGAATGGTTCCAATACAGATATGTAGAGTGGGTTGATTTGTTGAAAAGGTATGGCCCTGCAATAGGAGTCTGGTCCTTTTGTGTGATTAAGAGAATAAAGACACAAATCTAAGGAATAACAGTTATGATACAGCCAGCGTTGCTTATCAAACAATTTTTAAAGCAACATGTTTTCAAATTAAAAGAAACATGATTGAATTACATTTGTACAATGTGTGTAGCTGTATGTAGTTTACAATACCTTGGAGTTTTGTATTTTTAGACAAAAAAGCATACTGCTGTGCGTATGCAAACCTGATTGTGTACAAGATATTCTCCTCTAAATACTTTTTATGTCAAATAATGTAGTTTGCAAGCAACTAAGACATTTTATGCAGAAGGAAGAGCTCAACAACCTAGCGGTAAAATATGGGGGGGGGGGTAGTAGCTGGCTAACTATTTGTGCATTGTCAGAAAAATACAAACTGATGTTGAGGGGTAGTAAAGTAAACTGGAGTTTCCACTGCTTTAGCTCAATTCTGCACAGGAGCTCCTATATTTTTTTATAATTAAGAAACCATAAATAATTTTCGTAGGATAGCTGTAGATGAGTCATTTTTTTTTAACCTTTTTCTAGTCTAGGCAGCACTCATATTGTTTCTGAGGTACAATTTAATAACTCGTTTACGAATTTTGGTCAGCTGTAGTCCATAAATAAGAGGGTTTAAAATGGGAGGTATAAATAGGAACTCCAATGCCAAGAAATTTCGTATACCTTGTGGTAAAGAGCTTGAACCATATCTACTGTAAAACACATCAAACAACAATGCAATAGTAACATTGAACAATGCGAGCAGATGTGGTGTACAAGTCTGCATGAATCTGTATCTCCCCTCTCTTGACTTCCTGCATGTTTGAATCAGTTTCAGATATGAGCAAAAAATCAATAATGCATGTCCAAAATATATACTGATAACTACTTGTCCAACCACATTATTCACTACTGTAGAGTAACAGGCCAGTTTAGCCACAGCCCAAGTTTCGCAGTATAATTTTCCAATCATTGAGCCACACAGTGTTAGTCTTGATAACAGCAAGACTATAACAGCTATGCAAAAAAAGGGCGCAAGCCAACTAAAAAGGATGCATTTTATAACTTTTTGATTTGTCATTTCTGAGTGGTACTCTAGTGGTCGACATATTGCCACATATCTGTCATATGCCATCACTGTTAAAGTTGAGAAGTCACACAAAACAGATGAATAGATGACAAATATCTGAATCAAACATCCTGCATATGAAATCACATGAAATGGGCACAATATGTCATACATGAATTTAGGGTAGAAACCAGCAGTGCCATAGAGTGAATTTATACACAAATTACACAAAAATATGTACATAGGCTCATGAAGCCCCTTATCTGAGGCGATGGACAAAATGACAGTGATGTTACATAATAAGATTAGATAATAACAAAGTGCTGTCCAAAAAAAAAGCATGTATCTGTTTTCCATTGTTCCATCTAATCCAGAGAGAGTGAACTCTGAGACAACAGAAACATTCTCCATTGTGGGTAGAATCTGAAAGGACAAAAGGTAATTAAGATCGATTAAAAAGAGTCTTTCATGCTGTCCCTCTTCTTTTAGGCATTCCAACATCAGCTGTTGTGGAGTTCAGTCACCTTTGATACATTTATTTCCATTCAGAATTCTGTCTCATTAAAAGTAGATCATTGTTATATGTTATGTTATAGAGTTATATGTTATAGAGGCTACTTCATAGCTTAACAACAACAACAACAACAACAACAACAATAATAATAATAATAATAATAATACTGACAATTTTTAAAATACAATAATAGATATATAGAGGTATGGAGGAACCAAAAGTGTAATTACATTAGTTATTAGTACTTGGATAGTAGATTATGAGTAATTTGTATGCATTATTGAGTTGAGCAGTTGTTTGGAAATTTAGGTCATTAAAAGAATTTCTGATATTCTGTTAAAAAATTAGGCTATAACGTCACATTTGTGTGACAAATTATTATGTGATATTATCTGGTCTTTTTGCCAAAATTCTTTTTTTTACTCTGTGCCTTTGTATGTGTGTCCTCCTGTACTAGAAGGATTGGATTGGATTTTTATATGCAGTACTGACATGCTACCTGATGTTCTGAACAATGCTAAGAAATTCACTTGAGACTTCACACCCACAGGAAAATTTTCTTTTAGCGCAATGAGGTTAAGCATTAGTAATCATATAAATTGCCTCTAATTTTTTTTTGCTCATTTTCCATTTTTGCAATGTTGAGTTTGAGATTGAAACATATATTAGAGATTAAATAAGAGATCATACAACAAAAAACTTTTTTTAACTTTTAAAAGTACAGCTTTAAAAGAACACATTTAAAAAAAGCCCTGAACCAAAAAAGTCAACTGCTCCACAAGGCTTACGGCCTCTTAGGCATAAAGACATCAGGGAAGCAGGAAGTTCTCATGCCATACTTCTTCTGAAAGCATCACAAAAGGGTCTGGCTCTCTGTGAGAATGCATATACACACAACCTTTGATGGAAAAATTAAACAATTTTACCAAAAAGACCAAATTCCACTAACAATTTGAAATGGGAATTATCTCAGGACTTAAATTGTAGGTGAAAAATACCCATGATGGTTTTATCTCAAATTAAATGTAAAATCATGCCTGAAACATTTGGATGATTTTCAAAGTTGGATAACACCAACTGCATGATTTGGACATGATGTGAACTTCATGTTCAGTGATCACAGGACAAGCCTAGTCCTGTGATAACTCCGAAAACCTACCATGCGGAAGGACGACCAGCTGACATTGAGGAATAGATGTGACAGTGACTGGCATATTTCCCATGCCTAAACACCATAAAAGTCAAATCACTGCAGGTTTTGAGTTGTGAATCAGGAGCAATCATGGTTTCACCAACTTCATAGTCAGAACTTTCAGCTCAGATCTTTCAGCTTATATTATTTTGAACTCCAGTTCTTACTGACCAGGTGATGAGATAATGCATGCAAACGTCTGGATTGGTGCACCGGGTTGTTTCTGTAAATCCAGGGAATGAAGCACTCTGATGATTCTGCATGCCGGGCCTAAGTCACTGAAGCCAAGGACAAACATCTGAACATAATTATGAGCTTTTCTCTGCTTTCCTCTCCAGTGTGGCCTGGTGAGATGTCTTGAGCACCTACCTGATATAAACTCTAGATAGATAAGTTTATCATTGCTTTTTCTGTGAGGTAACTTAATAGTAATGCCTATTTGACTATACATATAGATAGATGTATTAGATGTCTTAGATGTCTCATATTATCATAAGCTGTCAAATTCAATAAAAATCTATTCACATGGACAGATCCACTGTATGAACAAATGTTTGATTAAGCTTCCTCAGTTGCAAAAACTGTGTCTGGCTACACAAACTAGATACTGTGGTGATAGCCATGGGGTGTGCTGCCAACCAGGAGCTGGCATTTCAGAGAGCTGCATGAAGGGACTCATGGGAAGCATGCATCCCACTTAAAAGAGGCTTATGCTGTTGTCTGTTGGTTAAAAGGTGTGCGATGTGTTGTATGTGTTATTATGTCTTGGGGGTTATTGTGTGAGCATTTGTGTTGGGGTTTGGTCACCATCAGGGTGAAGCCAGTGGGTGGTGGTAACTTCCCTTGTAGGTCCAACATTATTCTTGTGTCTGTGTGGGCCGATTGCTCAATAAAGAGCTGTTCTCAGACCAGAATCCTGGCTTCAGTTGATTCTTTATTTGACCACTGTTACATTTGGTGTCAGAAGTGGTATAATGCTCTCCAGGGGCAAGGAGAAAAATGGCGCTACTTCAAACTCAAAAAGAAATGGAAAAAAGAAGAGAAGCTGACAAAAAACAAAACCTAAATCTACATGGCGAGGACTGGTGGAGCCTGAAGGGGGCCTGCAGAGGAGGAACTGACAAGCAGCAGTGAAGCCCAGCTGGAGCACCATGAGGAGGAGACGGCATGTGGCAGCAGAGTCCAGCTAGAGCCACACGAGGAACAACCTGCGGCACTGTCAGTCAGGAAGCTTCTCCTGAACAGACGGAGGTGAAAGGCAGAAGGGGTTAGTGTGTCAATGATGGAGCTATGCCATGCACAATGGTTCAGCAGGAATACCTGACTGGCGATGCAGGAAAATGGGACATTGCACAAAGTGATGCCATGAGCCTAAGCCAATGGAGAATGTTTGTTGACACTCCTGCACGCTGAGAGAGGCACATCAGATGGCTGGGAGGCAGCCACAACCCAGCCCAAGTGAGCCACCTGGAGGCCGAGTCAACCTTGGAGAGGAGAAACGGCTCTCAGCCTCCCTGGGGGGACTGAGCCGGATACATGAGTTTTGGCTTGTACCCTTTGATTGGATTTCCTGGCGCAGTCCAGGGCCATGCTTGACCTCTAGAAGGAAACACTGGGCTTGGCAATAGGACAAGTAAAGCTGCTTGCTGCAATTAGTGGTGTGGCTGAGGCAGATAGTAAAGGCAGTGCACGCGAGCAACAGTCTTACCATCATCGTCTGCAAGACAGACAATGGAAAAAGCTGAAGGTGGCAGAGAGGAATGCTGCTGCTACTGTCATTGTCTGGCCAGTAGCAACAGACCTGATGCAGTTGGCAGTGAGGAGTCCCGACACGCTTAGGAGAAGGACAGAGAGCTCTCTTGCCCCTCCACCCTGGTGCACCAGTGGACAGATTGCACACAGAGCTGCAGTTCGGTGGCCTGCCAAGGTCAGAGCAAAGCAGCACGCCCGAGGTGGACCACTGTGGTGAGGACACGGCCCCGAGAAGAAGCGTGCACCTTTAAGGAGGTCCCTGGACAAGTCCCAGAAGATAAAAAATGTCTTGAGTCTTCAGTTGAGGACTACAGCTCTAGTTCAGACCACTCCACACCCCTGTACTACCTTACAACACAGAACACCACATTATAATGTGAGGCAATAAATATGTGTGTTTGTATAACAGACAAAATCTGGAGACGTCTTGAAGATCACCCCCTGAAAGCTAGAGTGTAAAATGGACAGTAGGACTGGATGTTTTCTCATGTCCAGATATATAACCTGAACTGGAGTCACCCTGATATTTTGATGATATACTACACCATAGAGGTGTTAAATACCTAAAATCTGTCACAAGTGAAGGAGAATGCAGTGGCTTTTAATAGCAGACAAAACATATAGTCCAAGTGAAAAACAGGACAAAGGAAAAGCTCACAAATCCCAAATGTACAGGCAAAGTAAAAATGCCAGAGGCTTCACAGAGACTGAAAGTCACAAGCCAGCTCTTAAAACCAAGGACTGATGAGGTCTAGGTGAAGGAAGGCGGGGCAAGTAATCAGAAGTCTGGCGTGTCTGAACGTGCTTGGGATGTGACAAAATCCTCAATGAATGTTGTTGCTGAATGTTATTCATTCTTGGCAAAGTGGCGAGTCTTGACCCATTCTCACTGATAAAGGACTGTGCCTTTCCTGAAAGCTCCTTTTATACCAAAGCATGCTTATGTCACCTATTTAAGAATTTTTTTGGAACTTGTCACAGAGTTTTTAGTCTTAAATTGCCCCGTCCCAACTTTTTTAGAATGTGCTGCAGGCCTCAGTTTCAGAATGATTTATTTTTACCAAAAAAAGGAAAGTGGAAAAGGTAAAACATTAAATATCTTGTCTTTATACTGTTTTCATCTAAATAAAGATCAAAGTGAATTTACAAATCACTGCTTTCTGATTTTATTTGCATTGTACCTACTATCACAATCAACAATGCAGGCTGATGGAAGGACAATTTAGAGTGTGTTTTCCTGACACAAACAACTTGTACTATGGGTACTTGAAGTTGCGTTAGTATCTATGCAACCAGTCCCCAGTGCGTTGAAATTCCATACTACAGAAAATAACATCTCTCTATTTCTTGCAAACATTGATGTCATCAAGAGTAAACCAGTCTCTAGTACATAGCTGTTCATTTGCTGCTTTTGGGTAGGAAGCCCTATGGGCAAGATGGGTGTAATTCAGGAACACCTGGGATATAAGATATGAGTATGCCTGTTGTTGCTTCTCATTTAAGGTGACAATAATGCATTGTCTCAATATCAAAAGGCATGCAAAATCTGTCACCAAATATCTGGTACCCTTTTGAAGAATTCTACAATGGACCACAAAGAAGTGCATGCATAGCACTGAGGACATGGCAAAATTCATCCATGTTCTTAACAAATATCATACTTTAAGCTGCAGTTTATTTCAAAAGTATCCAGACATGCCTGGTAATTAGTGATTTCAGATACTTTAAGGTGCTTCCATTGTTAACAAGGGTGTTCTGTTATGCACACAGTTTGTATAATCACTGTAAAAAAAGCATTGGCAATAGAATGGGATGCTCTGAAGCAGCAGCATGCCTAAAGTCACCATGTCCAGTACCAAGCATTGGCTATGGAGCAGTGGAACTGTGTGTTCTGGAGTAATAGAGCTCCATCCAATACATTTGGGATAAGTAAGAGTAGCATTTTTGATCCAAAACTAATCATTCAGTTTAGGTACCTGACCTCACTAATGCTCTAGTGCCACATGCAATCAAAACTTCATCACAGCATCACAGCAGTATTTTAACATCCAGTGCAAAGACATGCCAGAAAAGTAGAGGTTGTTACTGCAGCAAAAGGAAACAAACTCCCTATTAATACTCTTAGCAGGTATCTACACACTTTTTGACATGTTGTATAATTATTCAATAATATAATGGGTGAAACAGATTCATTTAGACACTGTAATCCTTAATAAACCAAACTTTGAAATTAGTCACTAGTGGCCATGGATCGAGTGTAATTAGTCAGTTAAATCAAGGAAAATATTAAATCCATTTTCATCCTTTGAACGAAGGGTCATGACCCTTTAGCTGAGCTCCATATCTCTGTTAAACGACAGCCTTTTCACAACTAGACTGGAGACCTACCAATAGGAGAGTTTATTGGAAAACTTTTTGTGTCACATAATTTATTTACAGTCTAGGCTGTGCCTACATTTTTTCTGAAGCAGAATCCTATAACTTGTTTCCGAATTTTCGTTAGTTGCAGTCCGTAAATAAGGGGGTTTAAAATTGGTGGTATGAATAGAAAATCCAATGCTAAGAAGTTTCGTAGACTTTGTGGTAAAGAGCTTGAACCATATCTACTGTAAAACACATCAAACAACAATGCAACAGAAATATTAAACAGTGCAAGCAGGTGTGGTGTACAAGTCTTCATGAATCTATACCTGCCCTCTTTTGACTTCCTGCATGTTTGAATCAGTTTAACATATGAGCAAACTATTAACACTGCATGTCCAAAATATATTACAATTACTACTTGTCCAACTACATTATTCACTGTTGTAGAATAGCAGGCCAATTTAGCAACAGCCCAAGTTTCACAATATAACTTTTCGATACTTGAGCCACACAGTGTTAGTCTTGATGTTAGAAAGACTACAACAATCATGCAAAAAAATGGTGCGAGCCAACAAAAGAGGATACATTTTATAACTTTTTGATTTGTCATTTCTGAGTGGTACTCTAGTGGTCTACATATTGCCACATACCTGTCATATGCCATTACTGTTAAAGTGGATAAGTCACCCAAAGCAGATGAATAAATAACAAATATCTGAATCAAACATCCTTCATATGAAATCACATGAAACGGGGACAACAAATCATACATGAATTTAGGGTAGAAACCAGCAGTGCCATAAAGTACATTTACACACAAATTGCATAAAAATATGTACATAGGCTCATGAAGCCCCTTATCTGAAACAATAGAAAAAATGACAGTGATGTTACACAGTAAAGTAAGATAATACCACACTGCTGTAAACGCAAAAATGATGGATCTGTTTTCAGTTGTTTCATTAAGTCCTGAGAGGGTGAACACAAAGACATTAGAAATGTTCTCCATTTTCAACCCAATCTGGAAAGACAGTAATTAGGATCAGTTAAAGAGCAGTCTTTCATAAATTTGTTTCAAGCCTTCTAATATCTGTGATTCTTTGCAGCTGAACAGCAAATAGGACAGATTCCCCTTGCATAGACAATCTTTATACAAATTCACAAATTCATTTTATCTTTATAAACTGCACACTACATCCTGTCTACCACAGTCGTTAATTCATGAAGTTATACTAGTACTTTCATTTGTAGTGCAAAATACATGTATTGCATCTTAGAGAATAAATAAGGTATACCGCAGTGTGCCTTTAATCATATGTCCTCTTATGAAGGGATGCTTGCAGTCTTTAAATACAGTGGCCTCATGCTCAAATCAAACAAGTTCACGCGAGACTCCCCCTCCCCCAAGAAAACAGTTACAAGCCTTGCTCCTTAGTATTTGTCAACTGTGCTTATGCCAGTTGTTATATCCATAAAAATAGTCTACTGTTCATATTATAAGGTAAATCTGGGCTAAAATCAGGCTGATTGTGTAATGTAGGCACAGCTTAAGTGATATCCTGCTTGGGACCCTCAGCTGACTATCCCAACTGACGACTGTACTACTTGGGGCCCCCAACTACCCCCACCCAATTATTTTATTTCGCATGCAAGTATGAAAAATAACCGGTGACTCACTGTGTCTTGAAATGATCTGGTTTTGCTGTCAAATTATATCATTATCTTTATTTATTTATTATTTATGGTGGGATTTCCTCTGAGCCACTGAATCTTTTCAAACTACTGCTAACACAACATCATTGGAGGAGAATGCTAACTGCCAGTTCTGTTACAGCAGCTAACAGATGCCATTGTTAGATAACATTGCACTAAGCAGTTGGTTGGAACTCTTAGTAAGACCATTGCACAAACTGATCATAAACTGAATATCAGCAAGACCAAGCATAAGTATACACTTAGCTGGGAGCATGTGTGAAGTCAAATTGTGATCACTTTAAACAATCTAATTCAAAGTTGTGTCTCAGAGCCAAGACTAAAAGGCATTGCTAGAGCTTATATACAAAGGTTACTTTTTAGAGACAATTGAGACGGCCTTAGTGAGCCTTGTTCAGGTTAACACAGCCCTGCACAGGTTGATCAAAAGCTGGTTTAGTACAATGAATAGCAGTTTTTTGTCACCAGCACATCACAATGTCATAGGCTATGACAACCTTGCTGGAGCAATGTGGCAGCAGTTTTCAGAGCCAGGTGCTACAGTCACTTTCCATGGGCTATGCAAGCTAAATCATGGCTTGGTGATGACAGAGCTTAGTCCACATTGGATAGACACTCTGCCATGATTTTGATATTTATTTATTTTTTTAATTCTAAGCCCTTTTGTTACCTCTCACAAAGGCATACTGCTTTTATTCTACCCGTGTTAGTAATATCAGCTCCAATGGTGTGATCTCTATTTATGTCTCTTATCATGTGTTTATCGAAAAAATACAGATTCAAAATTGACTTGGATTCTCCTTATGTAGACTTAAACTGTACTGAAAAAAACATAGTCTCTTCAAATGAGTTTCTTTTTATCATTTTCATTCAAAAATCTGTTCCAATGGGTGTTTTTCAGCTTCTCCCCAACCACCAAGAACACTTTGCTTGAAAACTGCTACACGACACTGACATAACCATGCCATGAACATGTTATTTTAGATGTCATATGCTGTCATGACAGACTTTGTTCAGTAATACAAAAGTGTCTGTGGCATGCGCCCGCCCCCCGGGCCCCGACGATGACGGCCGCGAGAGTCGGCAGGAAGGCGGGGCCCGAACACCCAGCGGCGACCAACCTCGGCCAGGACGGCAGGGAGAGAGCCGCGAGTGTGGAGGGGGCGGAGCGCAAAGCCAGAGCTCCGCCGAGTGACCCGAGTGACGGCGGTAGGAGGAGGAGGACGACGATGGTGCCGGTAACGAGAGGCACCAGGGTGTGGCATGCGCCCGCACCCCGGGCCCCGACGATGACGGCCGCGAGAGTCGGCAGGAAGGCGGGGCCCGAACACCCAGCGGCGACGAACCTCGGCCAGGGCGGCAGGAAGAGAGCCGCGAGTGTGGAGGGGGCGGAGCGCAAAGCCCGAGCTCTTCAGCAGTATTATCTCAACCTGAACATACAATAAAAAGGCTTTTCTGCCGTCAAATACCATTTCTCGATTAAGGAACTGACCTAAAATCACAATTTTATGAGACAGAACCCTAAAGCATTTACTTGAGTGACCAAATCTGTACAATAATGAAATCGTCGTTGAATACGCTCAGATACACTGAAAAGGCGTTTCCAGCACTCCAGAAGCGCTGAAAAGCTTTAGAAAGGCTGGAACCACTGTCCAGTATTCTCTTAAAGTGAAGACATTATAATGATTCTAAAAAGGCTTTTCTGCCATGAAATATCCATTTACTCTAAAGGAACTTACCAAAAATCACATTTTCTTGAGACTGAATTCCAAAGCTTTAACATGGGTGACCAAATCTGTACAATAATGAAGTCGTCGTTGTATACACTCAGATACACTGAAAAGGCGTTTCCAGCACTCCTGCAGTGCTCAAACGCTTTAAAAAGCCTAGAACAGCTGTGCAGTATTCTCTTAACGTGCAGACATAAAAGTCGATATGCTTAACATAAAAAAATGTTTTCCATTGTTATAGCAGAGTTGCTTTGGAATTCTGCTACACATGACTGTAGTAAACCAGCACCTACCAGTACCGTTAATTGATTCCAGCACCGTTAATTGATTCACAAAGGGTTGAGATTTTACCTGGAAAGCATTTTTTTTTCAGACCCCTTAAAATCCGAACACTGACTCAAACAAACATATATCCAGAGATTTTTATCGCTAATAACACCAGAGAATTTTGAGAAATGTTGTACATGTTTGCAACTTCATCATTGTTTACAAGCTTTGAAAGGGTCTCTTTCAAGTAAATACGTACTTTATTCAAAACATACTTATTTATATTGATTTCTTAACACAATTGGAAGTGTACAGTAGTAGTATTATTGTTAGTAGTAGTAATGATAATAATAATAATATAATAATAATAATAATAATAGAAGGATGTGATTATACTTAAGTAGCACATAGAGTATATTCACATAACACTGAGTGAAAAATGTTTGTTTTTTGTACAGATTAACTCTGCTGAAGGGGTACCGTTTCACTAAAGCAGGAAAGAATCAATGGAGATGGAGTCTGAGGTTTAAAGAAAATGACCAACAGGTGCTTGATGGGGAGAAGCTATCCCACCACAAGTGAGTGTATGTATATATATATATATATATATATATATATATATATATATATATATACACACACAGTCTGCGTTATTTGGTACACCTACCTACACTCAGGCTACACTCACTGTCAATTTTTTAGGTCCACTTACCAAACAGGAGCACTTTGTACATCAGATTGTAGTCCATCTGTTTCTCTGCATACTGTATTAGTTTCCTTTTACCCTGATATTCAGTGGTCAGGACCCCCACAGGACCACCACAAAGCAGGTATTATTTGGGTGGTAGATGATTCTCTGCACTGCAGTGACACTAACGTGGCGGTGACATGGTAGTGGAATGTTATTGCGTGTTATGTGTGCTGCACTAAGTGGATCACACACAACAGCTTTTTTAACTATTCAGAGTCACTGCTGGCTGAGAACAGTTGGCCAACCAAATATGTCCACTGTTTCGTGTCCAGAAACTGACCACTGATTAGATCAAGAGGAAAACTAATGCAAACTGTGCAGCAACAGATGAGCTGTAGTCTACTACTTTACATGTACAAGGTGGAACGACAAGGTAGTTGTGTCTAAAGCAGCAGACAGTGGAAGAGGAGCTAACAAAGTATGCAGAGAAACAGATGGACTACAGTCTGTAATTGTAGAACTACAAAGTGCACCTGTATGGTAAGTGAAGCTGATACAGTGGACAGGGGTTTTACCTAATAAAGTGGCCACACACACACACACACACACACACACATAGTTGTATGCAAACATTGGGTTAATTTTCTGAGTGAAAATAAGTTCATATTTTTATGCACAAATACTGTGTATTTACTAAATTTAACATAAGATAAAAAAACAAAATGTGGCCCATGCAAATGTCATAGTGTGGTAAGCGTGGTCAATTTGTGGTGTTGTGGTCAATAAGTGGTCTGGAGGCTCCCCATTCAACACTCTTGGACATCAGAACTCAATTCCACAGTGCTCTGAAGTTTATTGTGGTTTTTGCACACAAAAGTATTTACACTCGCGAGAGAAAAATGAAAAGAAAACAAAACTGTAGCCAAATGACTCCACGGACTCCGCAGTCAGCATCCGGCAGCCATTTGCCTCACACAGAACTAAAGCGATTCTGTTGCATTGGGTCTGAGGCTGCGAAGCCACACAGACCTTCCCCAAACATACTTCAACTCCTCCATTGTCCCCCTTCCCTTTTAACCTGGTAGCTCCGCGCACATTAACTCTGGGTCATACCATTATCCACAGTCTAGGGCTGACAATAGAACAGACAATACACACATAAATCACCTATATACATACATACAATGGCCATTTACTTCATATATACACGTGCACATTTATCTTAGAAATGATTGCTAAACTAGTTATATTTAACATTATATTTTCTTCTTTACAGGTACCAGCGACCTGGCTCCCACCTCGCCTGGGTCCCCCTGGACCTCAGGTAAGTATAAGTTTAAATTAATACAAAATCAAAAAATGTCAAAAAATGCCTGTCAGAATAAAAGTCACCATAGTATTTATTGAGGAAAGGTGAATTGTAGTCCTGGTGATGTGTTAGGGTAACCTAACATCATCACACATAGCACATTTTATATTTTGTGTTTTATTTTTTCCAACATGTTAAACATGTTAAACAGGGATATTCAAACTTTTTGTACACACAGCCCTATGTTGATAATATTATGCTAGTAATATTATACCGAGTGAAAAATGTTTGTTTCTTGTACAGATAGGGGGGAAACAGTACCTTTTCAGTGGAACAGAGGAGAATCAATTGAGATAGAGTTCTTGTCCAAAAGCTAATTCTGAGGTTTACAGCAAAACAGCCAACAGGAGCTTGGAGGGAAAAAGCAGTCCCACAACAAAAGCCCAGCTCAAGACCCCCTAGAGACCAGAGAAGTTTGGAGCTTTAAAAGGTACGCTCTCTGTCTCACACACACACATTGCCATTCGCCTACAATACAGGTTCCAAACCCTGGTCCTGGAGAACCCTTACGCTGCACATTTTAGTGTAATATATATGCCCATTTTGAATTCAACACGAGTCAAAAAAGTTCTGACAGGGGCAACAAGAAGACTGGTAAATTTGTGTAATGCTAAAAAAACCACAGTGGAACATCTCACAAGTAAAAAAGAGCGTCTCAGAGGCTGAGTCCTCAGAAGTAGAGAGGGGTAGGTGGTTCACCACTCTGTGAAAAACTGCACAATCAAATAGTGCAACCATTCAAGTACAAAAAGTTTCTCAATGTAATACAGCAAAAAACTTGGAGATTTTATCATCTAGGGGACATAACATCATTAAAAGATTCAGAGAATCCAGAGAAATCTCTGTATGCAATATTGGATGGCTGTGATCTACAGGCCCTCAGGCAGCGTTGAAACGGAGTTGATCCAGCATCTAGTTTCAACGGATTTTCAACGTTGATTCAACGTGGAACAGTATGTGCACTTTTCCGTTGAATCAACGTCAAAAATCAACGTTGATTCAACAGTTCTGCATTGAACTAGACAACTGTGAGTCACCTTTGATTCAACGTTACTTTGCTATCTGGGAGGCGGCGGAGCTCGGGACTCGCTCCTTCCCCTGGTGCCTCTCGTTACCGGCACCGTCGTCGTCTTCCTCCTCCCGCCGTCACTCGCGCCACTCTGAAGAGCTCGGGCTTTTCGCTCCGCCCCCTCCACACTCGCGGCTCTCTTCCTGCCGCCCTGGCCGAGGTTCGTCGCCGCTGGGTGTTCGGGCCCCGCCTTCCTGCCGACTCTCGCGGCCGTCATCGTCGGGGCCCGGGGTGCGGGCGCATGCCACACCCTGGTGCCTCTCGTTACCGGCACCATCGTCGTCCTCCTCCTCCTACCGCTGTCACTCGGGTCACTCGGCGGAGCTCTGGCTTTGCGCTCCACCCCCTCCACACTCGCGGCTCTCTCCCTGCCGTCCTGGCCGAGGTTGGTCGCCGCTGGGTGTTCGGGCCCCGCCTTCCTGCCGACTCTCGCGGCCGTCATCGTCGGGGCCCGGGGGGCGGGCGCATGCCACAGTGTCATGTAACCATTACCATAGTTGAGAGATGTCAAGTCATGACAGATGTCATAATATTTAAAGTCATAACTAGAAAATACTTAGCAAAAATAATCATGTGATTCAAGATTCAAGAGATTCAAGAGTTTTATTGTCATATGCACAGCAGAAACAGGCAGTTACACTGTACAATGAAATTCTTACTTTGCTGTTCCTCCATTTACCAAATATAATCTTAGAAAAAAAAGAAATATTAAAAAAATATATTAAATACACAGAATAAGTAGAAATACACTAAAAACAATAATAAAAAAGTACAGTTATATGTGCAAAGTTGAAAGAAAAATTAAAGTGACGTGTGTATGTGCAAGTATATAGAGCAGTGGTCCATAAAGTGCATGTTGCAAGTAACAGATGTAAACAGTAGTGTTCTGTGCAAGTAATAGATGTAAACAGTAGTATGTAAGGTGCAGTTATTGAGTGCAAAGTCAGCCAAAAGTTACACCAGTTCAGAGTGGGAGGGGGGAAGAGGTAGTGAGTGAGGTGTTCACAAGTCTGATGACCTGTGGATAGAAACTGTTCGTCAGTCTTGTAGTCCTGGACTTTACACTCCTGTAGCATCTGCCTGAAGGTAGGAGTGTGAAGAGTCTGTGCTGGGGGTGTGTACTGTCCCTGATGATTTTGTGGGCCCTCCTGATGACCCTGGTGTGATAAGTGTCCTGTAGTGAGGGGAAGGCTGCTCCTGAGATGGACTGTGCAGTTTTGATCACACGCTGGAGAGCCTTTCTGTCCTGAGCAGTGCAGTTTCCATACCAGACCGTGATGGAGCTGGTAAGAACACTCTCGATCGTACTCCTGTAGAAGGTGCTGAGAATTTTGGCTGGCATGCCAAATTTCCTCAGCCTTCTCAGAAAGTACAGTCGCTGCTGGGACTTCCTGATGATGAGGTGTGTGTTGTGAGACCAGGTGAGATCCTCACTGATGTGGATGCCAAGGAATTTGAACCTCTGTCTTACCTATGTACAGGGGTGTTTGCAGCTCCCGCTTCCTCCTTGGATCAACAATCATTTCCTTAATCTTGTCTGCATTCAAGGAAAGATTTTTGTCATGACACCAGGCCACCAGCTCAGCCACCTCCTTCCTGTACGATGTCTCGTCCCCACCAGTGATCAGTCCAATGACTGTAGTATCATCAGCAAACTTGATGATGCTGGTGTTGTTCTAGGAGGCCACGCAGTCATACGTGAAGAGCATGTACAGAAGGGGGCTTGGCACACAGCCCTGGGGGACCCCTGTGCTCACTATTCTTGTGCTGGATGTGCGGCTGAAGACTCTGACTGACTGGGGTCTGTCTGTTAGTAAGTTCAGCATCCAGTTGCAGAGGGCGGGTGTCAGTCCGAGGGTGAGGAGAGTTTGTGTGGGATGAACGTGTTAATTGCAGAGCTGTAGTTAATAAAGAGCATTCTGACATACGTGTCCTTGCCCTCCAGGTGTGTGAGGGCTGTGTGAAGGGTGTCTTCTGTGGACCGGCTCCGACGGTATGCAAACTGGAGAGGATCTACCGTGTTCGGAATGGTCTCCTGGATATGAGTCATGACTATCCTCTCGAAGCACTTCATCACGATTGGGATGAGTGCAATGGGGCGCTAGTCATTTAGGCAGCTCACAACACTTTTCTTTGGGAGGGGCACGATGGTGGTCTTGAAGCAGGATGACACAACAGCTTGTGCGAGGGACAGATTGAATATGTCCACAAACACGTCAGCCAATTCTGATGAGCAAACCCTTAGTGCACGCCCAGGGATGTTGTCTGGGCCGGCTGCTCTCTGTGTGTTTATTCTCTTCAAGGTCCTGCGCACATCCACTGATGTCACAATGAGTGATGTGTTCTGTGTGCTCTCCTTGGCCATAACGTCTCTCAGTCAGCCAGGGTTGAGGGCCTCGAAGCGAGCATAGAACTCATTCGGATCATCAGGTAGTGTAGTGTGGCTAGTTGTGACCACTCTGCTCGTCTGTTGGTAGTTGGTGATGTGCTGCAGTCCTTGCCACATGCGCCGGGAGTCCGCGGTGGTGTAGTAGCCCTCCAGCTTCAGCCTGTACTGTCTCTTGGCCTCTCTGATAGATCTATGCAAGTCGTATGTGGACCTTTTGTAATCTTTAGCGTTGCCTGAGAGAAATGCAGCATGGCGAGCATGTAGCATGGACCGAACTTCACCGTTTATGCAGGGTTTCTGGTCGGGGTATTTTCTGCAGTGCTTTGTAGGAACGATGGTTTCAATGCAGCTGCTGATGTAGCCTGTTACCCCAGAAGCATAGTCCTATAGATCAACAGTACAGTCCTCTCTCACAGCAGCAGTTCTGAACCCATCCCAGTTTGTACTGTCAAAGCAGTCCTGAAGCACTAGATCATTTTCTTCATTCCACACTTTGATAGTTTTACTCACTGGAAGTGCTTGCTTGAGGAGTTGTCTGTATACTGGGTAGAGGAGCACGGAGATGTGGTCGGACTGTCCGAAGTACGGCCGAGGCACAGCCCTGTAGGTCCCCCCCTCACGTTGCTGTAGACTTGATCGAGTATGTTGCTCTCCCTCGTCAGAAAGCTCACGTGTTGATGATAACTGGGGAGGACAGTCCTCAGGTTGAAGTGGTTGAAGTCGCCAGCAAAAATGAACACACGTGTCATGCAATGGCGTCATGCAGCAGCCCCAGCGCCGTGTCTGAATTTGCTTGTGGCGGGATGTAAACAACCAGAATAAACACAGCGCTGAACCCTCTCAGCAGATAGAAGGATCTGCACTTCACCATCAGCAGTTCTAAGTCAGCTGAACAGTGTTTTTCAACAGTCTTTACATCTGAACATCACCTGTTGTTCACGTAGATGTAGACACCACCGCCTTTGTTCTTCCCTGATGCTGCCGTGCAGTCCCCGTGGTGGATGGAGTACGTTTCTAATTGGATCGCCAAGTCTGGCGTGCTGTCCGAGAGCCAGGTTTCCGTGAGAATAAGAGCACAGCGCTCTCTGATCTCACACTGAGTTGATATTCTGGTTCTGAGTTCATCCAGCCTGTTTTCGAGGGAACGAATATTAGCTAGCAACAGGCTAGGTAGCGGTGGCCACATAGCCCTAGCCTTTAGCCTAGCATGTAGCCCACCTCTCTTGCCCCGCTTCCACTTTGGGCGCTCTGTTCATCGGCTGCGCCACTCACCCAAGGCAGGTGCTGCTCGGCCTTGCCAGCTGGTGCTGGTGGAGTACGAGCGTAAAAGAAAGTTGAAGTGCGCAAGGCTAAAGGTAAGTACATGACGGACTTTACCTATCTCCAGGAGTGCCTCTCTACTGTAACTAACTGTTCCATAGATAAACTGTACATTTAAGATAAATACTAAAGTTAAAATAAATAATAAATAGCGTTGGTTGCAGGAGGAACACACAAAGATGTCTGCCACGGTGGGCGCCATCTTGGGAAAAGATCTTGATATACATCTTGATATAAGCTGCCATAATATTAAATACTTTGGTATCTGTCATGACAATTACCGCTAATGGTGACATGAAACTGTTATAGTGTGAAACAAAATGTGCTATATAACATCATATATAACATATAACATTTGCTGTGACATGTTTATGGCATGCTTATGTCAATGGTATGTAGCAAGGTTGACCTAAAGTGTTACCAGTGAAACAATTTAATCATATATTTTTAAAAAGTGCATTACACCTTGTGCTGCATGTTAAAGATTGTAGGTGATTGAAAGTCAGGAAGGAAACACCTGTTGAGTCCTGCACATTCTCAGAAACTAATTGTGCCTTTCTCAACCACATTTAAAGGATCCTTCAAAACGGGACAGCCTTCAGTGTCATAATAGTCAGGAAATATAGTCTTTCTCAGCTGCGTCCTTGGCTTTGAAACAAAGCCTGTTTTCTGAAAATTAAGATATAGAGAAGGCTTAACTTTCCATAGTGGTAAGACTGAATGTATTAGCATTGGCTCAAATCAGTCCTTACCAAAAAAAGTAGGTTCCATGTTTTTTAGTATTTTTGTTTTATTTAATCTTAGATTTTTTTTTTCTTTCTTTTTCTGCTGAAGTTAGCTTTCTGATAAAAACATTAAACCTTTTTCCTTATAAGTATCAATTAAAAAGAAAAACACAACAGTGTTTAAAAAATGTGTACTGTTTCACAGCAGGGGTTATTACACCTCCTGTTAAATTTTTAATTGCCTACTAAGCAGCTCAGTACAGACTTACACCATTTCACACACTGTGACACAACAGTGTCCTAGATAATTAAGTTACAGGAAATATATATTCTTTGATCATATTAATTATCTCTGTATCTAATAAGATCATTCTCAGCACTTCAGTGACACTGACGTGGCGGTGGTGTGTTAGTGTGTGTTGTGCTGGTACGAGTGGATCAGACAAAGCAGTGCTGCTGGAGTTTTTAAGCACCTCAGTGTCCCTGCTGGACTGAGAATAGTCCATTAACCAAAAATATCCAGTCAGCAGAATCCTGTTGGCCATGTCTTGTGACCACTGATGAAGGACTAGGATGACAACACAAACTCTGATGAACTAGAGTCACCTATTTGGTTAGTGGACCTGATTAGATGGACAATGAGCATACATACAAGGAAGCACACTTAATGAAGTGGCTGAGATGAAAGTGAGGTGGAGGAAAGCTGGGACTCCTTATATTTTATTTTAAAATTAATTGAGGACATTTATTTCTAGATATTTGTTGACAAGCATAACTATTATTTGTTCTGTCAAGTTGAGTAATACCCAGGCATGCGTAGTAACTAATTACATTTACTGAAGTACATATACCTAAGTAAAATCATGATGTATTTGAACTCTTCTGATTACTTTCCAATCTAAATAGTTTTATTCCTACTCAGGTACATTAGTGGGTAAAATAATTTGCTTTATTCAGTTACATTATAGCCACTCATTTATTTACTAATTCCTATTTTGTGTTATTTTTATAACTTTTGGTGACAGCATCGGTACTGTTTTATGATTGGTCACATTGCTGACTTCAAAAGTGTTTAGATTTTGATTTTAAGGTTCAATCAAAGTTCAAAGTGCGATTCTGGGGATTCTGGTCTTTCACTTTCTGTTGCTTCCCCTTTGGATCTGTGTGAACTTGCTGTTGGTAAAATGTTTTTCTACCTATTGTGCAATAGAAAAACTATTTTAATACTATATATCTTATCACACTGGAATGTAAGAGTGGAAAATATACCTTGGGAAAAAGTGGACACTGCCTTTTAAGCTTTTATTAAGGGATAAAAGGAGAGAAGCTATATTTAGGTTACTTCATACACTTCACCCCGTTACAATCTTCCTTGCAAGATTTGGAAAGGATATTGATACCAGTTGCGTCTTTTGTGAAGCAGACTCTGCATCTATTGTGCACTTGTTTTGGTCCTATACCTCCTGCAAAGTTTAATATAGTATTAGTATAATGCATACGGTGACTTTTCTTTGGCCTTTAAAGAACTATTCTTTGTTATTTGTAGTTGTGAGAGAGAAGACGTTAACAAGTATTTTTTGATTAATCTATTTTTTTACTTGCCAAATTTTATATCAACAAATGTAATTTCAGGAAGTTAAAGTCTTCTTCCCTGTCTTGGACAATGGAATCAGAAGACATTTAGATAATATCAGACCTTCTAGGAATACTAAAGCCATGAAAAGTATATCTTTCATATTCTTGTTACCAACTGGAATTAATATAGATGTATGTGTATGCTCGTATGTGCCCTCTCTAAAATGTACTTTATAGTCTCTTTAGTTTCCTCTAATTACTAAATGTGAATTTGTGTGTTTGCATTGATACCTTTTTCAATTACATAAATACATTGAAAGACAAATGCTGTGTCCTGCTTGTAGCAGGTTGTGTGGAAGAGATTTTATTCTATAATGAATATTTTCTACTCTCAGTCTGTATAAAGAGATATTAACTGACAATGTCTTTTAGCAGAGGGTATAGTTTGAATTCTTCTGTATCAAATTTGCTGCTTACTTATACTGTTGATAGATCAATCAGTATTCTTAAAAAAAGCTTAGTCTTTAAAAACTCACAGAAAGTACAATAATTTACCAGTAAATGTACATTAGCTATCAATAGGTTAACGCAGTGAACAACAATTGCACCGTGGAGCTTTAAAATTGAGCAGAACTTCCACCTTTTGTGAGAGACCCAAGATAATGTTACAGGGTTCCTTTAGTGGAGCAGCAAGAGACGGGCCTCTCACTGGAGGTCTGCAACCAGACCCTTCTCCTCTGGGTTAGTACAAACTGCTTTGCACAACATGACTCAGTTTAAACAACCCTTGTAATATTACTAAAAAATAGTTTAATGATTTGCTTCCGTATTTTGGTCAGTGTTAGACCATAAATAAGAGGATTTAAAATAGGAGGCATCAGGAGGAAGTCCAGGGCCAAAAAAATTCGCAAACCTCGAGGGAAAGAATTTGAACCATAGCGACTATAAAGCACATCAAACATCAAAGAAATTGCAACATTCAACAGTGTAAGTATGTGTGGCGTGCAAGTCTGCATGAATTTATATCTGCTCTCTTTAGACTTTCTACATGTTTCAATCAACTGTATGTATGAGCCAACAATCAATACTGCATGTCCAAAATACACAACCAAAACTATGTATCCAATCACATTATTCACTGTTGTGGAGCTGCAGGCCAGTTTAACAACTGCCCAGTTTTCACAATATATCTTTTCAATATTTGAGCCACACAATGCTAATCTTGATGTCAATAAGACTAAAACAGCTATGCAAAATAAAGGTGCAAACCAAGAAAAAATGATAAATTTTACAATTTTATGATTTGTCATTTCTGAGTGGTACTCTAGTGGTCGACATATTGCCGCATACCTGTCATATGCCATTACTGTTAAAGTTGAGAAGTCACACAAAGCAGATGAATAGATGACAAATATCTGAATCAAACAGCCTGCATATGAAATCACATGAAGCTGAGACAGTAAGTCATACATGAATTTAGGGTAGAAACCAGCAGTGCCATAAAGTGCATTTATACACAAATTACATAAAAATATGTACATTGGCTCATGAAGGCATTTATCTGAGGTAATGGAAAAAATGACGGTGATGTTACATAATAAGACAAAGTTATAGCACAGTGCTGTCAAAGAAAAAAGCACATATTTGTTTTCCACTGTTCCATCTAATCCAGAGAGTGTGAACACTAAAATGCTGGAAACATTTTGCACGACGGAACGATTCTGTAATGGAAAGAATTATAGGTTTAATTAGGTTAGGTTTAATTACACACATATACTTGTCTTTCATAGCCAGATGCTGTACATTTGGTTTTGAAGATGTCCAGCACCTGTAATCTTACAACTAAACTGCAAGTGCTCTGCAGACTCAGACTGTGAGGTGAAGTAAAAGTACTATATAAACTTTTACCTTTCTAAACCAGCCATTATAGTTTAGAAAGTAACCAAGAATTAAACATTGGTCATTCTTAAATCTATGAAATTCAACTTTTTACAAAAATCATTCTCATAATCACCAATTTCCCAAACATAAATTCACAGCTTCTGCATCATGACTTTAAAAAAGTGAATAAAATATTAAAATAATAAATAATAAAATGGCTTAAGTCATATTGCCCTTCTATAATGCAAATGACATTCAGTTATCTTCTAATATCTATAGTATTCAGAGGAATTTTGTATGAGATTGTATATTAAAGAGCAAGTAAATAAATAATTCAGGTGTACCATCTCGTGCCTTCATATGCGTGTCCTCTAATGAAGAGATGTTTGGAGAGTCTTTTTATACAGTTCTTCTCCACAGTCAGCCTACACTGCGACAGTCAATGATGAAGTGTAGATCCACTAAGAATAGAATATTTTAGCCAATCAAATCCAAAGATAGTGCTTCTTAGGGGGAGGATTTCTTTAACCCTTTAAGTCTGATGCAAAACCATGGTAATGTCTGCTGTGTAATCTGCTCTTCTCTGTCAGCAATGTGACTTCTCAGTGTTGTCGTTAGATTTATTTGACATGTAAAGAATGCAATCTAACAAGGCCAAAATTTTATTTTTATTTAGTTTGTCTCACAAAGTACATTTCTAAACAGGCAAACATATACTAAAGCAATAAGCCATGAGAGGCAGTGCATTACTGTGATATAAACATGAGGAAGGGTGTTCCTAAAACTCCCTTTCCTGTGATAAAATTATTTAGGATTCAGCCACATCCATACTTGACAAATAATGCAAATTCAATGGACACAGTTTGCCTAAACCAGATGTAGTTTATCAGCCAAGACGTGTCTGGTGTCCAGATTTTGCTTCGTTAATTTAAACTGAAGTTGAGAGACTAATGTGGCTGTCAGTTGCTGGAAGTCAATAATCAAAGTAAATCCTTTCTGTAATACATCCATAAAACACCATCAAATCATATCCAACTCATTAACAAACACCTGTTAATGAGTTTAAGGTAAGTGGAAATTGTGTAAATTAGATTTTTTGCTGAACTATTCCTTCAAGTGAATGTATTCTTGTTGTGTAACCTGCACCTTTTCTATTATTCTAATGTTATTTTTTTTTAAGGTTGCACTGCAAGTATTTAGGAAGGCTGTGGGGTTAAATGGCTTCTTCTCTTCATGTGCTGCTGGAAAAGCTTTGTGTTAGCATGTTGTTGCACTGCTTTTTCAAACTGCACACTACAGCGCAATGGTAATGAAGAGAGTGGCACCAACACTGCCATGCACTAGTGTTCTTGAAACAAGGCACAGACCAAGGACCCATGTAAGATATCTCAACAAAGTTTTGTATGATAGTTTGTAGGTTCACATTGTTGATATGCAGTTACTTTCTGTAGTTTAGCTGTTGCTCTGAGTGTTATATCAGTACTCTTCTACACTCTATTCATACTAATACTCACATGGTACTGTGTGTGAATCTGGTATGATTGATTCAGACATAGCTTGATGTCCACCTTTTTAGATGGACACTGATGTTAAAAAAAAATGGTAATACTGTAGTATTATGTCTGATACACCAAAACCAGACTGACACACTGTCAGTGTCACTGCTGTGGATGAGCTATAGAGAAAGAATGATAGTTAGTAATTGTGTACCTACAAAGTCACTTATGTGGTAAGTTAACCTTTATAAAATTGTCAGTGTTTGTGTCTAATAAACTGGGAACCCTGTTTTTGTTTGTTTATAAAAAAAATGCATTTCTTACAGGGGATTCATCTGGAACCTACAGATAAACCTGTGGTACGGAAGCCAAGGGCAAGGGTTTTTTTTGTCAACTGTTGTAAATCATAAGCAGTCAGTAGGCATGAGTAACACTTTCTTCTGTTTTTAGGACCCCTTCCTGACCTTACAATGCTGGAGCCGGCTTAAGAGATATGAGAGCACAACCTGGAATTTGTAAGATCTTGTGTGGCCTATCCAAGTGGATTCAAAATTTGGACCAATTCTTCAAGGTTCAGTTCTCTCATATCGGTGTCTAACTGTGGCAACATGAGAAATGACTAAACATCCAGAAGCCCCCTTATTCTCACAGCTTCCACTAAAGGACCATAAATTGGAACAGCAACTACATTTTGTTTCCAGTTATCGATATTTTTATCATTTGGAGAGTTTAGAGGTCACCAGGCCAATTATCAAGTGTCATTGAGAAGAACACAGGACATTTAGAAAATCCATTATGGAAACAAGTGCGTCAGCCACAATTGACCTACAGTAGATTTGCGGGTGTGTGCAAAGTACAGGGGGAGTCATCTAGTCAGGCTTTAGCAGTGGTGCGGCAAACATCTGCAGTGAAGAGGGTTATTGACTCTGAGCCAAAGGTCTTACAGCAATGCAGTGACGTGTAATGTAAATGTGTCACCTTCTGTATTTGTTATACACCCTGACGTGCCTTACCTTGGTGCCAGCTCTTATGCTAAGGTACACGATCCTGCTGCAAATCCTCCCTTTGGGCTTGCTGAAGTAAAATGCTGAAATGTTGACTGTAACAGAGGCTACATACATTAAGTTCATCAGTGGTCAGGGCAAATTGAAAAAGAACCACAAATACTTTTGACAGGTCCAAGGCCAGAAGGCCATAACTAGTTTGCCTTGGTGTGATTTTATCACATCTACAAAACTGTCCTGTGGTGAGATGATTCTCTGATCACAGAAATGAAGAAGAAGCTTGACCTGTTCTATTAAAACACATATATGGATATGTACCTGGATATGAAATAATTAGCCAGTGAATCTACATTTGCACACTCTAAAAGTTCTACACTCTTAAAAAAGATGGTTCTTCAAAGGGTTTTTAGTAAAGACAATGGTTCTATAGAGAAATGTAAACACCCAAAGAGCCATCTGCATGATGAAATCGTTCTTTAGATTCATGGAAAACGTGTTGCATATGTTTCTACATAGCACCTTTTTTAAAGGGTTCTATATGGCACCAAAAAGGTTTCTGCTATTGTGATGTCAAGCTTATTACAATTGAAAAACCCTTTTCGGTGTTATTAGAATTATTTAAAAAAATGTTCTACATAGAACTATATACAACATATTCTCCATCAATCTGATACACCATTTCACCGTGCAAAGACTTATTTAATCCTGCAAATTGTTGAGTGTTCATGGTTCTATAGAACCACTGTCTTTACTAAAAGTCCCTTGAAGAACCATCCTCTTTTGTCTAAATGTTTTTTGCAGGGTAAAATGGTTCTTCAGATTGACTTAGAAACTCTTCGGAAATTATTCTATATAGCACCAAAACAGATTCTTTTGTTGTGATGTCAAGCTTGTTACAGAAGAATCCTTTTTGTTGCTATATAGAAGCATTTTGAAAAGGCTTTATATAGAAACATATACAACATATATATACTTTCCATATATACATTCTCCATCAGTCTGAAGAACCATTTCACCGTGCAAAGAACCATTTATACAAGAAATGTTTCTAAACAGAACCATTTTTAATAAAAAAGAATACATTTTGGTCCATTTCTATTAGTCCTTTGTATTATGAAATTTCTTAACAATGTAAAAGGCAGCTGGCCTAACAATTACAGAGATACACGTCTTTGTCCTGAGGCTACAATTTGCTCTTAAGTTCCCAAATGGTGGTTCCCAAACCTGGTCTGGTGTGCCTCCATCCTGCACATTGTAGTTTTTTTCCCTGCTCCCAAGACACCTGGTCTGAATCAGCCCATTAACAAGCACTTTTTGAGTTGACGTTGTGTTGTGTTACAGTAGGATAGACAGTAAAATGTGCAGGCCAAAGAGTACTCAAGGCCCAGGGTTTGGAACATGTGTCTTATGCATTATCAGTAGTTCTGCTAACTCGGGTACCTATGTTATTGTACTTATACTGTGCGTATTGTTAATTTTAACAGTACCCCCAGGCTGGCTCCAGGAGAAGGTACCAGGAACCCTCTCCAGGGCAGGGTACATAGTATCTTGTGTCTCTTGATTATGGGGGATTTTGGATCGAGTTTGTCTGGGTCTTCACTCCACACCTGTTTGCCTTGGGAGACCATACCAGAAGCATACCGCTCTAGACAACTTAGCTCTGAAGATCCCTAGACCACACAAGCCCTTACGCCACAAACGTTTTTAACAGCAGGGGGTTATCACTACTCACTTTTAACTCATCACTGAAGTCCTTCATTGAACTGAATAGGTAACCAGGAAATACATGCAATTTCCCAGAACCTACATCACATTTAAAAAATAGTGAATAAAAGGTCACCTTGCTCTTCTGTGCTTCAGAGCCCTGAATGGAGCTATCAAAAGACCACACTTAATCAGATGCAACAGTAAATTAGTTTCATTTGATAGTCAACAAAAACATAAACTGGATTTGATATTAATATTATTTAAAATTAATTAGAAACAGCATACAGTAACATCACTTGCTAAGGAGGGCTCTGTTACCATAACGGACAGGCTAACTAGAAATGTTAGATAAACATAGCTACTATAGCTAACTTTAGAAATGGAGATGTATTTTTACCAATTAAACAAGGTGTGCTGGAATTAAAAACTGACCAGAGTGTCACTTCAGTAAATTATTCAATAGCAATTATTCTGAAGTAAATTGATCTGACTTTGTGTTATTATGATGCCCTTGTATGTCATTTATCACATATTCCTTTCAATTTAGTTTTGTATTAAAAATGTTTTATTGCTTTAAAGGGCCTTTATTGAAGTTTCTAAATGAAATTGTAAAAGTTTCAAAATGTACCATTCTCTCCCCAGCCCATACAGTCAGTATATGGAAACTGTTTTGACTTAATTGTTTTTGTAATAGCACGTTTATAAACATTTGCTTATTTGGTTAACAGTAGTTTAGTTCCTATGGACACACCTGGATAGCAAGCTAGTTTTAGCAAATATAACCTGGTGCCTATTATTTATGCTGGAATATAGGTAGCCAACTGAGAGGCAGCCATCAGTCATCACTTGAATACAGTGGCCCAGGCTTATACTGGACTTGGCTGCATTGCCCTACTCATAGTGTCTCTGATATTAAGTGCTGCTCTTCCGTAACACCCTTGTTGCTTTTTTACCTGAGTCATCCAAAACCATGAAAAAAGCACATGACAAAACGGCTGGACAGCCCATATTATTGGCATCTAGCACATCAACTTAGATATAAACAGCACACAATGAACTGAACTCAAACATAATTAGTGCAGCATTCAACCAATAACACTCAATATATGATGTCTCCAAAGATCAGATAATGGAAATCTAGATAAAGGACTTACATGGCAAAATATATAGACCTGTACAGCTAAAAGATCTTGTCAACCAGACCTACGTACTGACATAATAAACATATGGCAGGTAGTATACAATTATAAAACCCTGTCTGGTTTTCTTCGACCTGTGTAAATTATGCAATTTATTTTTATATCAGAGAAATGTGTGCACTAATATCATTATTTTTTCATTTTTCATGAGTTCTCTCAAATGAATTAAAATTTAAATTAACTGGGAACTATTTGCCAACTATGGTAAACAATTTTAGCAGTGTTAACGAAACCTGGCATGCATATATATGTAATAGGGTTATTTCTTCTTTACCCCTCGTGGTGCCCCAGCCCCATGACAGGCATAAAAAAGTGAGACAAAACATGTCCAAGATAGGAAAGTTTATCACACTAATACATCAGTGATTTGCAACAATGTTTATCTATAGTGGAAGTGTCTTTCAAACCAGGAATAAAATAAATTTGGCTAAGGTGAAACTACTTTGTGTGAGAGGGTTTCAGACAGTAAACAGTTTTATTAATATTATTTTATTTTCATCAATTATGCTCTTGAAACCCTTGAAAAAGTGTCTTCACAACATTACAATGTGCTCCATATCCATTGTGTTACAGATAAATGACTAAAGTGATTCACTTTGAATCAAACATCAATTGTTCATACCATTGTTCACACACTAGTATGCACAAAGTGCATTACACATTCATTTATATACAGTTATTATACTGTTATTTAAAAGATAGAAACATGAAAGAGTTTAAATATGACTAAAGTTGAAAAAGAGGATTTCTTACAGATAAATAAAGGAAAGTAAATTCCAACAAAAGGCTGTATTTTCATTTGTGACTTCCAGAAATGTGCATTAGAGAGGTGTGAATGCAGGATCAGTCTCAAAATAAAATAAAAATAGTGGCAATACCCAGAAGAAAAAGTAGATGTAGCACAAGATCAGTGTGTTCAGTTAATTCCTAAATAAAACATTCATTCAAGTCAATAACATGTTACCATGTGTGATACACTACCCCATGTTATATAAGCTGCAGTCTGTTTGTAATTAGACAAACCAGATAAAATGTGTTGAAAGTGTTCAAAAAGAGAAAAAACCACAAACAAATACTTAATGTAATGTATAATCAGGAAAGGTGTTTCTTAACTTGTGTATTGTAAGTTTTACAATCAGGGTGAGAAACATAGTAAATGTGGTTCTCTGTAAAACCCAATTTTACAAAAGCCTAAAATACCCTAATTTGAACCATTGATTTACAATTTTCTAAAATTTCCTCAAATGCATATTCAGGGCTGAGTTCCCCAAAAGCATCTGAGCACAAAGATAATTCTTAAATGGTAAAGCGAGCATCACACTGTACACTCTCTATTCCAGGTGGGACGATCTCAACACTAAAATGCTTTTGTGAAACTGGGCCCTGTTTAGTGTGCAAATTTGGGATGAACAGATTGTTTAGATATTTTTAGATTTGTAATTTTTCTGCGAATATCAGGAAAGTTCAAGCCGTAAACAAGGGGGTTTAAGAGAGGCGGTACAATTAGAAGATCTAGAGAGAGAATAACAGCTACTGCTGGATGTAAATTCTCAAAACGGCTAAAGGTCACTTCACAGAAAATAGTAATTGAGTAATTAGTGAAAGTCACCAAATGAGGAAGACAAGTATGATAAGCTTTCTTCCTTACCTCTTTTGAACTTCTCTGACAGATTAAAAGAATTTTAATATAAGAATATATAACAAAAGTCAAGGGAATCAAAACTGTTGTTACAAGCACAACAAAGCTGTAGATGTTATCAATCATAGCATTCTCACAGGAGAGCTTTGCAATAATCCAGTTGTTGCAGTACAATTTATTTATTTCATTACCACACAGTCTTAGTCTAGCAATCAAAATGATGCCAATACCAATAGAAAACATTGGATAAATCCAAGATAAAGCTATCAATATGATAAGTACCCTGGGGGTAATAATGCTGTGGTATCGTAAAGGTTTACTTATAGCAACAAATCTGTCATATGCCATTAAAGAGAATTCAATGATGTGCAAATCATTTAAACCTTATGTTTAATTCAGAAAAGTACAAAGACATAATATCAAATGTTAAAATTGAGAAATTTTATTGTTTTTTGAAAAATATATTTCCCTTTTTAAATATGATGCTAGCAACACATTTAAACTTGGGGCATGTTTGTCACTGTGTTGTATCACATCTTTTTAACTGTAATTCTGTAAGTGTATGTTAACTGAGATGACCAAATGAAAGTGAAGTGTTTTCCTGTTCTAGCTTGATATAGAATTTCAGCTGCTCAAAGTCTCCTTTGTTGTATTTTTCATTTTATAATGTGCCAACTGTTTTCAATGAGTAACAGATCTGGACTGCAGGTAGGCTAGGCTCTTTTGCTATGGAGCCATGCTGTTGTAATACATGGAGAAAGTGGTTCATTGTCCTGCTGAAATAAGTAAGGCCTTCCCGCAGAAAAAAACACCATCTGAATGGATACATATGTTGCTCCAAAACTTTTACATATTGTTCAGCATTAATGGTGCCTTCACAGATGTGCAAGTCACCCATGCCATGTGCACTAATGCATATACCATCATGGATGCTGGCTTTTGAACTGTGCACTGATAACAAGCCAGTTGGTCTTAAGCCCAGATGATGCAGTGTCCATGATTTCCAAATTTCAAATTTTGATTTGTCGCACTCATAACACTTCTCCACTTTACTTCAGTCCATTTTAAATTATCTTAGGCCTAGAGGAGGCAGCGGAATTTGTCAGTCCTGTATATGTATGGTTTCTTCTTTGCATGGCAGAGTTTTAACCACCATTTGTGAATGCAGTGCTGAACTATGTTAACAGACAATGGTTTTCAGAAGTGTTCCTGAGCCCACACAGTGAATTCTGCTACAGAATCATGTCTGTTTTTAATGTTTTGTCTCCTGAGGGCCCAAAGATGACAGCCATTCAATATTGTTTTTTTGGCCTTGTCGCTTGCACACAGAGATTTCTCTGGATTCTCTGAATCTTTTAATGATATTATGTACTGTAGATGATGAAATCCCCAAGTTCTTTACTAATTTACATTCAGAGACTTTTTTCTTGAATTGTTGCATTATTTTTCCTCGCAGTCTTTTACAGAGTGGTGAACCCCTCCTCGTCTTTACTTCTGAAAGACTCAGCCACTCTGGGATGCTCTTTTTATAACAATCATGCTGACCTGTTGCCAAATAACCTAATTAGTTGTGAGATGTCTTTTTTTTTTAACATTACACAACTTTACTAGTCTTTTTTTCCAACATTTGTATTGTCGTCTTTGTACTATTTTCAATTAAATGAAGGGTTTAAATGATTTGCACATCATTGCATTCTGTTTTTATTTACATTTTGCACAGCATCCCAACTTTTTTGGAAAAAAGGTTGTATTAATTTGGTTTCTGATAAAAACTAAAAGAGACAGACATAGGTTACATGAAAGTCTACCTAGCTACATCATGAGGAGGAAATTAAGTAGCATACTTTCATACAACCGTGGTGTACCAGCCATCACAAATAACTGAGATTCCAAGATCTGTTACTTATTGTCATTTGACGTTAAAACCCAACCCATTAACTACCAATAGGTATTACCTAGTTACTGCAAATTACAAAAAAAATAGAAAAATCACCACACAAAATAATCACATGCTACACTTGTAGTAGTTTGTTGACACCATCTCTAATATATTCATTTTAATATCATTGGCTGCTATTTCTCCATTTGACTCTTCTGCCTCCTTAGACAGCTACAGCATATTCAGATAGAAAGGGCAATGATGTTGTTGCTACATATGTTAAATGTCCCTTTGGAGAGCTCATCCCTGCTAATCTCCTCCTTCTCCTCCACCTTCTTCTGCTTTGGCTCTGCTCTGATGATTCATATTCATTATCATCTGCACCTGTCACTTTACTTACTTATGGTATGGCTCAAATTCTTTGACAATAGTGAGAATCTTCTGGATTATATATAATTTCTACTACTGTTTGGGACCACAGTTAAAAATTAGTCAGTGGACTAACACTAGTACATTTACTTTGCGTTGATTAATGTGAATTGTCTCTGATAACTAAATAAATCTGCAAACCTGTGCACTTGAAGTTCATGCTTAAAAACAATTCAGTAAGATATAACTGATCTATCTGTGCTTCACCCACAAATGCGTTCTTGGGTAGCTACTGTTGTGAGGTTGGACAAGCTTTACAGAACACTGGCAAAATCCTTCACAATGTGATAAATTAAGGTTGGAGTTTTGATTCACTGCATAATGTTGAGGTTCCAGACTGTTGCTATAGTTAATCAAAACTAAACAAATTGGAAATGATAGCGAATTTACCAGCATGCTCACATTAACTCGACATGACCTTTATAAAGCCAACATCACAATAGCTGTGATAAAAGTCATCCAAATGCCTAAATTAGAAAAGCAGTCACTACACTACTGGATCAAATTTTTCTAGACACTGTCTAGAAAATACTGTCCTTCAGTTTTTGTGAAGGAAGGCAGAAAAAGGCAACAATTCCTTTCAAGGAACTACAGAGTTGAACAGTTGCATATAAGTGGCCTGCATGAAAGAAGTAATTACTTATGAAACATTTGCCAGAAAGAATTACAGCAACCCATGTTGGATCAAGCAATACCAACCCTGTAGTGAAGTATGCTGGTGTTAATATCATGTGGTGGGGATGCTTTTTATCAAGCACCTTGTTAAAATGGAACAGATGGAGGTAAATACTGAGAAACTGTAAGAGAAACTGATTCAGTCTGCAAATAGTCTAAGGCTTAAAAGAAATTCACCTTTTGAGGGACAGTATCTCCAAAACAAAGATCAGTCCTATTGAGAATATGTGACATTATGTGACACAGAAAGGAGAAAAGAGATTGTACATGCCTGCTCTCTTGTAGAGGTTTTGGTAAGCAATTTTGCAGTTACTGTTGTAAATAGTTCCAACATGTGGAAGAAATGTGCAGCTATTGCAAATAATGAGTTTCAAGGCAAATAATTAAACATGATATGTGACATTATTTAACACCTCCCAGGCTGAGTTATTCATAGAAGTGTGCACTAAAACTTTAAATTTACCGGTGAGTCCTGGATGTTTATGGAGTTAAAAGACTACAACTATCTTAAACAACTGACTAAGCTGCCAAGATGAATAGTAAAAAAAAAAAAATTGTTAAATTTTGTCAAATTTAGTCTATTTTAGTGTTAGGTTAGTGTTCGAATTTGTCACCTAAAAAAACTCCAAGGGTTTTGGGTAATTTTGGAAGGCACTGTTTACTCCTGTTTGCTTTTGGGCTTTACAAAGTCTTGCTTGTGTACTTAGGATTTTTCCCATGCTCATATTGTAGGCCTGTACTCTAACCCTATCTGCTTGCACTGACTCTTATATTAGGCCCTGTAGCAGTGCTCAGCACTTCTATGCTGCCATGTCCAATTTACTATAGTTACATTAATGCTTTTATTTTCCACATTTGTTCCTAGGCAGCATGAATATGTAGGTCTAAGAGAGCAATTTTAAATCTGTACTAACAAAATGTACAACTAAAATGCACAAATATCATCTCACCATGGCCATTCCTAGTGCTCTGACACTAATTTTGAGACATTCATTTGTTGAGTTATTTCCACCTAACACAGGTCTTATTTGAGGTAATTTAGAAAATGGACATGTATGTGGAGATAAAGAAGAATGTATGATGTGCATGCAGTTTGTCTGTGTATTTCTTCACTGCATGCACATATGTTTCAGAGAGAATCAATCTTGGAATGAAATTTCACTCTCAATTGCATTTTTCTGTATAAATAATTATCATATTAATTAGTTGTTAGTGTCTGTATATATCCATCTCGATATCTTCTACTACAAGTAGCCTATCATTTCTTTTCTATCCTCCAGTCTGAACAATATCTTTTCTTCTGTGATTAAATTTAGCACTCCTGGTCAATTCAGCTCATGCTCCAAGTAAAACTCAAACATATATCATATATAGAAATGTGCAGCTATTGCAAATAATGAGTTTCAAGGCAAATAATTAAACATGATTAACATTTCCTTGTGAGAGTTCAGAGAACTGGGACCATTTCTGGCTTTATACTTACTCAACCAGCCACACACACACACACACACACACACACACACACTTTAATTAGGACGTCATGGATCCCTGTATTTTGCACTTTGTTTGTCAACGCTTCCCCAGGTCGTCACCACACACCACCCAACGTGCATTGCATTTTTAAAATAATGGTGACTCCCATGTGTCAAACATGTCAAATATCTCCATAGATTTTATAGTAAATAAAATACTTTATAGAATTTTAACAAAATATTTTAATAGTTTAGGATATTTAACTCATATTGAGTTTACTTTTAAGGCTTGAGTTAATGTTTAGAAAATGCCATGCTGGGAATAAACAGATATTTTATACATCTTCAAGGTTGTATTTGGCAGCTTTGACATCAAGTTCATGTAACATCTATGTCAGGTACTGATTTTTTTCTGACACTAGGTTCCATTACAACGTTTTCTAGGTTGACATGACATGATAATTTCATAGCTCAGTGTGTGGCATGATGCTGATGACATAGTTTGCCACAACAGGCTGGTTAGAAAAAATGTAAACATTGTTGAGGCCCTGAGGTGAAGCAAATTTAATTTTACCATTTATAAGTTTTGATCTATGTCAGATCATCAGCATTATGTTAGTGTGAAATGCACTAAGCTACAAAGATAGTTGTCATAACCTGGTACATAATTTAATTAAAAAAAAGAATCATGACACAACCCGATGTCAATACAATGTTACTGGACATGGATGTCATGGGTTGATATCAAAGTTGATAAAAGCAGCCTTTATAACAGATGATGCACTATTAACATAAGCCGTTATACATGTGTTGTGAGTTTGTGAGTTGTCATGCAGCCTGCTGAACACTGCCCTACAGTAAAATGTTACCTATCTAACAAACCAACTCACAAACACTGTCAAAACATAATTCTGTGTTTTGGGGAGGAAGAGTACCAGATCATTGGCACATTAATTATATTCATTGTCCAATCTATTTTTGGCATTCTGCAAAACATCAAAATATTGCATTTGTACAAATAAATTCAGGTAAAAATTTAAGCAAGTGCTCTAGGAAAATAAAAAAAATATATATTTCTAAATATAATAAATGAATGAGTTGCTGTCAAAGAAACATCTCAGTCATAAAGGTCTGCAGTTACTTTCAGCGTATGTATTCAGCTGACAGTTCATCACTAAGTGATACAGACGCATCTCTCAGGAAATGCAGATGTTTGTTTTTCTTTTACATGAAATTTAAAAAATAAAAAATACATGATGCTTACATGCATGAAAATTTTAAATGTAATGCGCTGCAGTTCACATTTAACCCATGCCAAAGCACATGTTTAGCTAGAATAAATTCTTTTGGATGTTTTCAGAATGTGTTGAATTTTTCTGTGAATATCTGGAAATTTTAGGCCATAAACTAGTGGATTTAATAGTGGGGGTATGGTCAAAAACTCCAAAGATAAAATAACAGCGATTGCTTGAGGGAAAAAACCATCTTCGTAGCGGCTGAATGTGATCTCACACAAAATGGTTATTGAATAATTTACAAAGGTCACTATGTGAGGAAGGCAAGTGTGATAAGCTTTTCTTCTGAATTCTGATGAGTTTCTTTGACAAATTATAAGAATTTTAACATAGGAAAACAAAATAAAACTCAAAGGAATGAAAACTGTTGTTATGAGCACTATAAACCCAAAAATATTATTTAACGAAGTATCAGTACAGGAGAGTCTTACTATTACCCAGTTGCTGCAGTACAGTTTTGTTAAGTCATGCCCACACAGTTTAAGTCTAGCAGTCAAAATGAATCCAATACCAATTGAAAACATTGGACAAATCCATGCCAGAGCAATCATAACAGCAAGATTCTTAGGTGTAATAATACTGTGGTATTGTAAGGGTTTACTAATAGCAACAAATCTATCATATGCCATTAAAGTTAAGATTGTGTATTCGTTTGATGCATAAGTGTAAATGACAAAAGCCTGTACATGACATGCATGGCGAGAGATTGTGTGTGTGTATGATAATAAATCAGTTAGTAATCTTGGAAACAAGCCAGCAGTACCATAAAGTGAATTGAGTGACAAACATGAAATCAGAATGTACATAGGCTGATGCAGTGCAGTTTCCAGAACTATTATGAAAATTATGGCTACATTAAAGAATACAATTAAGAAGTATACAATAAATCCCAAACTGAAAAAAAGAAATCGTACCTCCCCCATATTTTCAAACATGGAGAAATAAAAGAGAGTTCCATTTTCCATTGTCCCTTGGATTAATTCATTGTCATGGTAGGGAACAAAACTACTGTTGGAAGTAGCCATAAGGTGCTCCTCTACTAAGTACACTTATAAGTGTGTGAATATATGCGTGAACTATCCTACCCCTCTGTAGACAGTCAAGGACAATTCCAAGGAGAATTAGATTGGGCTTGACAAGGAACACTTATGACCACATATGACAGCATGACAATACATAAAAAAATAGTTTCATGGGTCTTTATACATACTTTGTTTTTGTGTCTAAGGTTTGACACTTGACTCTATGTTGTCAAACATAGATAATCATAAAATTTAATAGTGCCAATATAGATAAGATATTGTGGTGGCTGCCTCAGGATGCACTGCCTATCTTGAGCATTTTGGCTTTGCTATGCAAAATGCCAGTTGAAACATGTGTAAATGACATGGGATGCATGCGCCTCCAGTAAAAAGAGACTGTTTATTTGGTTTCATGTTGTATGTTGTTGTTCTTTGATTAAAGGGTGTCTATGTATTTATTTTTTATTCTGTTCTGGATGAGACTAGTTAAAGTAGATTTCTGTTAGTAACAGAAAGAGTAGGGCTAGGAGTGACCTGCTTCCTATTTTTATTTGCTTTTTAAGTGGCTTTTCTGCCTTGTCCACTTAAAAAAAGCATTTTTCAGCAGAAATTCTGACTTCACCTAACTCTTCGTCTGGTCAAGAAGAGGAGAGAGCAATGGAGGCGAAATTACTGGAGTGACAATGGCCGGGGGTGTGAGGAGCGGCAGAGCAGCAGTAGCCGATGTTGGGAGGAGCAGCGGAGCAGCAGTGACCAACAGCTGGAGCCTGCCAATGCTGCAAGCCTGAGCCTGCATAAAAAGAGAACAGAGGTCAGGCAGCCCCCCTGAGAAAGTGACTCTCAGTGTTGCTGGAAGGAGCAATTGCTGCAGGCGGCTTTGTATAGAGTGCAGCATTGATGGCTCACTGCTCACTGCACTTATACACTTAGGCTCGATAATCTCTCTGCTGTGGCCAGGCATGCTTTACCACACTTGAAGAAATATGTCAGATGGCTGGGAGGCTACTATCGTCCATCGCTGCTCCATTACTGGCGGCCAAGTTGACATGACAGGGAAGAAGCAGGTACTGGTCGTGCTGGAAGGGTTTAACCGAGAGCATGAATTCTGGTTCACGTCCATATGGGAAGCATGTAATTTTGCTATAGGTTCTTGGCAACAAAAGGAGCCGAGATCAACAGCATGAAGGCTATGCTGATTCTGAAGTGTAGGTGAGAAAATCGACATTCAAAATTCAGCAGCAAAGTCGAGGCAGAGGGTTAAGGCTCCCTGGCAGTGCTAGAACTTTCAGATGGATCTCCTAGGGTTGTGGGACCTAAGAGATCCATGCACATTAGCAGCTTGTCCATCAGGGTCAATGGCACAGTGGACAACAGAGGTGCCTAAACAGAAAATAAAGGAAATGGCTGAGGTGGGGATTATTGAGCTGTCAAGTAGCCCGTGGACAGCACTGGTGGTCCTAGCTACGAAAAAGGATAGAAGTTGGAAGTTCTGCATGGACTACTGGCAGCTCAATGGTGTGAAAAAGCCCGACTCGTATCTGCTCTCGCGCATTGATGGTGCTTTGGGCCGCCAGTTTCATATGGTTCAGTTCGCTGGATCTGTGGAGTGAGTATTGGCAGATGGCACTTCCTCTGGATGCAAGAGAAAGACAATGTTCATGCTGGGACACGCGCTCTAGCAGTTCACAGTAATGGCCTTTGGCCTCTATATTTGGGCAGCTGATGGAGTGAGTGCTAGCCAGCATTCCTAGGGACTGGTGCATCATCTATTTTAATGACATGCTGGTCCACACACCAGATTTTGATTTGAAACTCCTTAATGACATGTTAGCTTCCTCTACAACAAAGTGAGTAACAAAGTGAGGGATAGACACAGACTTGGGGAAGGTGCAGACTGAATGGCAGTGGCCCACACCCCAGAGTGCTGGTGAGCTATGCTGCTTTCTTGTCTTGGCTTTGTACTACTGGAGCTTCATGCATGGATTCACTGACATTGCCACAATGTTATACCAGCTTACCGAAAAGGGTGCCCTTTATACACTGGCATAATGAAGCTGAGCACACGTTTGCATTTGCTGCCCTCTGTGCCCATCTCTGTGAGGTGCTGGCACTGGCATTCCCAAAGCCATGTGGCAAGTTCATTGTAGACACAGATGCTAGAGACAAGGGCATTGGTGCTGTCCTCTCGCAAGTACAGGAGGGTATAGAGGGTTATCATGTATTATAGCCAGTGTTTGAACAAAAAATACTTGAACAAAAATTTGCAAAATTACTGTGTAATGTGAGGAAATAGGCGGCTGTTATGGTAGGACTGTGCCAATTTTGGCCCTATGGTGTTTCCTTCATGCTGTGCATGCTGTGATGCCTCATTGACCTGGGTCATGCAGTTTAAAGAGGCTGAGGGCCAGGAAGTGAGGTGGATCATGGCTCTACAGGAGTACAATTCAGCACCACAGCATACAGCCACACAGTAATGCTGATGCCCGAAGTCCCACTACCCATGTGCTGCTGAGGAGTGCTGTTACTGTGTTCATAATGAGAAAAGCAGTAAGAGCAGAAAGGACTGCTGCTGTCACGGCCATCACTCGTAATATCACTGGACCTGAAGAGTTCCATCATGCCCAGGAGGAACATTTCTAGGCACATGGTTGGCTCCAGGCAAGGTGGACACTGGAAATGGACAGATGTAACATCACATAGGCTCATCACAGGGCTCTCTGAGCAGGTAGGGACAGCCTCTAGTTATGTGCTGCTGCAATGTGTATGGAAGAATCCAGTGCCTGATATGCATGTCTGGTAGTTGCTGGTGCTGCACAGCCTGTTTAAAACAGTGCTGGGTGTGGTGCATGGGCCAGCTGGCATGGGGCACTTTGGGATAAGCAAGACCCTGAAGCAGGACTTTCCTGGATGTGGAGCAGCCAAGAAAGGGCCACCGCAACTGTTGCATGCTCTATAGCTGTTCTTTGCTCCAGTACCCTGATGGAAGGAATAGCCATGGATGTCTTGGGACCCCTTCCCACCACCAAGGCCACAAACCACTATGTATTATTTCACTAAATGGCCCGAGGCATATGTGTTGCCGGATGATGGTGGAACAACTGGTATAGGAACTCTTTTGCCAGTTTGGCATATCAGAGGAGCTACATAGTGAGAAGGAGTGCAACTTTGAGTCAGCAGTCGTGGCTGGGGCTTGGGCACTGGGCACGGAGTTCCACCACTTTCTCCTTGTTGTCCTCCAGCTCACCAGGAACCTTCCAGTGCACTTAAGGACTTAGGATTAAGATTTTCAGTTCCTTTGAATATTCATTAAAGTTATTAAACTATAGACTTCCCAGAAAACATCTGTGTTAAGCTTATACACTGCTTATTTTGCTATGACAGGCCAACATCTTATGACACAACCACAAGTTGTGTCCATCATGTCATGAATATAACATACATTAACTATGTTTCTAAAGTATTGTTGAAACTATAGAGACATTTTCAGAGACACTGTGTCAGAGACACATTGTTTTCCACAATAATTTTTATGGCCCTTCAAAATCTTTTAGAGTTTTGGATTTTGTTATAAATTGGTTTCTTTCCCCAATGTATCCTCATCAGAAATTCCCTTTTCCCTCAAACAACGCATATCAACAGTACCAGTAAATATCTTTGAACAACAACTGGAATACAATTACTTGACCTACTGTTATGTTTAATAAATCAATTATATAATGATTATATAATCAAATATAACAATGATATGGATTTGTTTACCCGTGAAGAATTTCTTATGATTAGCACTTTACTGATCATTCAAAAAAAAAAAACAGCATAAACGGTGGTTTATTTAGGTTTGTCATAAGAGCGAAAAACCAAATAGCAATATTAGTAATTACAATAACATAAATAATAATAATAATAAATAAACAAATAAGCAAATAAAGAATAAATAAAATTGATAAAATACCAGTATGCTCGAAAATGTGACTGTGTTTTTGTAATGATATGGATGAGCATTTATGGTCCAGGGGTCTAATGGGGGTCTGAGCAGACTACTTTCCTGTCTTTTCAGTATAATTCAGAAAATATTCAGTGGGTTTATTCATTAGCCTGAAAGATATTATCTCATAAGATACCACTTAGATTAACAATTCATTCACACATGGTAGGAGCTTGACATGTCTTCCACTGCCTTTTCAGCAGTTTCCTACCCACCATGAGGGCTGTCTGAATCCAACCAGAATGAAAACTGGTCAGGGACTTAAGAGGCCAGGAATCAACCAAGCACATATAGGCTTGGTGAGTGTGATAACTGTACACTAACTAATTTTTCTATATTGTCATGTTGCTGGAGCCAGAAATCCTGAGTTACAGGGCAGCCCCACAAGGAGGGAACTAGTATGCCCTCCTGAGGGTACCTCCAAGAGTCAGGACTGTCCTTCGGATTTGCTCTAGATAGCCTGGAGGGAGTCCAGTAGAAACAATTTATTATTTTGAAATTAATATGTCTAGTTCTCATTAATCTGAATACAATTTTGAATTTCTTCAGTATATCTGATAATTTCTCATTAGTGAATGAAACATTTAAGTTTTTTTCCCATATTGATTTCAAAATAGAGGGTCTGGCAGACTTTTTTAATTAAAAGGTAATAATACTTAGCTGCTTTATGGCTTAGCACAAATTGGAAAAAACTAGTTCCTAACTGCCTGTGGTATGTACAAAAAGGCTACGGATATGGAAATATATCCAGAACTATGTACAGGGCAATCCATATTCATAACAGAGACTCTCAAAGGACTTCAGAGAGTCATTATACAAGTCATTCACTGCTCTAATGCCACACTGCAGCCAGTTCCTCCATATGAATGGAGATTTGCCAATGTACAATTTAGGGTTCAGTCGTATACTGGACAGTTGTTCAAACTAGGATTAAAATAGCCTTGACACCCTGTTCCTT